TCCTGTGTTTTCCTGCCCTGGATGCCCCAGATGGAGGAGACAGCAGCAGTGAGGAGGAAAAAGCCGAGGCTGAGGCAGCTCCAGAGGCTGAGGCAGCTCCGGGGGCTGAGGAAGCTCCAGAGGATGTGGAAGCTCCAGAGGATGTGGAAGCCACAGCTGAGAGCACCCGAGAGGAGAGCAGTGCTGAGCAGGGAGGAGGGAACTCTCCTGCTCCAGAGGCTGACTCGGAGGAGGAGGATGGAGACTCTGAGGAGGAGCATCCAGAGCTCAAGAGGGAAGTGAAGGAGGAAGAGGTGAATTATCCAGACACCACCATCGACCTGTCACACCTTCAGCCCCAGAGGTGAGAGAAGCAGCAGCTGGGGGCACCTGAGGGTCCCCTAAAACACTGCCAGGACAAGGCTGGGATGCATTGCCATCCCTTCCTTCCATGCTCAGCAATGGGAATGCTGGAAACTGAGCCCTGAGCTGCCTCTGCTCTGCCGAGGCTGTGGGATGAGCTCGGCTCCCTCTTGTCCCTGGGACTCCTTAGAGGGTGCAAGGAGCAGGGATGGGTGAGGCTCATGGGAAGCTGAACTCTGGGGCTCCCTCGGTGCCCAGGCTGTGTTTGGTGCTTGTGTGTGTGTGAGAGGAGCTGGCAGAAAGCTGAGATTGTTTTCTAAAGTGAATCCAGTGTTCCTGCCTTTTCCAGTCACCAAAGCTGAGATTGCCAAGCTCTGGAAAGCTGAAAGTTAGAACCAGGCTGCTGAATTTGGGCTGTGGTTGGCGTGTCCATGGTGAGCTGCCCTCCATCTGCTGATGAGCTCCTTTTCCTTCTCCCCACAGATCCCTGCAGAAAATCATCCCCAAAGAGGAAGAGCCCAGCTTGGTAAGGTCCCAGCTCCAGTGGGTGCCCAGGGCAGTGGGAGCTGCTGGGCAGGACCTGCCCTGAGCTGCCTTTCCCTCCTCAGAGCGACAGCAGGGCCCAGGGCCGGAGGCATCTCTCTGCCAAGGAGAGGAGGTGAGAGCCAGTGGGTGTTCCAGGGGATCCCAGGATGGTTTGGGTTGGAAGGGACCTTAAATCCCATCCCATTCCACCCCTGCCATGGCAGGGACACCTTCCACTGTCCCAGGCTGCTCCAAGGCCTGTCCAGCCTGGCCTTGGGCACTTCCAGGGATCCAGGGGCAGCCCCAGCTGCTCTGGACAAATGCTTCTTCCCCATTCCCTCCCCATGTCCTGGGCACATCTGTACCCACCCCAGTCTATGCCCATTGTCCATCCTGCATTTCCAAGGTGAGGTGCTGCTCTTGTCCTTTGGGAATGCTGGCTGGGAACACAGAACTGGTGGGATGGAGAGGTTTTGCTGAGGAGGGGCTGTTTCCAGTGTTCCTCTGGGTCCCTGTGGCTGGGAAGCAGGGTGGGAATGCTGTCAGGAGAGCAGCAGCTTCTCTCACCACAACAAATGAGGGTGTTGTGACTGTTCTCCTTAGAGAAATGAAGAAAAAGAAGCAGCAGAACAACTCTGAGAACTCGGAGCTGTCTGAAGAGAAGCAGAAGGAGACAGAGACCCAACCTGTGGCTGCTCCCAACTGCCCCAAGGCAGCTCCAGCCCCCCAGCCCATCAAGCGGGGCCAGAAGGTGGGCAGGACCAGGGGAACCTGGGCTGAGCTGTTGGCATGGAAACATGGAGAGCAATCCCAGGGTTTGGGATCCATGGCTGCTTTGGTGGTGCTTTGAGGGGTCTCTCGTGATGGTGCTGGGGGTTAGCACAGAGCTCACTGGAACCAGTGCCTTGCTTACTGGTGAACTGCTCTGAAAGTTTGGGATACTGGGAAGGAAAGAGCATCTGTGTTTGCAATACTCTGCTAAAAGTTGTCATTTCTGAAGCTGTTGGTGTTTCCTGCTGCAGAGTAAAATGAAGAAGATGAAGGAGAAGTACAGGGACCAGGACGAGGAGGACCGGGAGCTCATCATGAAGCTGCTGGGGGTGAGGGGGAGTTGTCCCTTCCCTGGGGTGTGGTGGCTCTGGTCACCAGCCCTGACCACCTGTGTCACCACAGTCTGCAGGCTCCAACAGGGAGGACAAAGGGAAAAAAGGCAAGAAGGGGAAGACAAAAGAAGAGGCAGCAAAGAAGCAGCAGCAGAAACCCAAACCCGTTCGTGCAGCAGGAGGGGGCAAGGAGACCCTCCCAGCAGGAATTGTGCTGCACGAGGCACAGGAGCCAGCCCTGGATGAGCTGCAGGAGGACAAGGTGAGGAGTGGGATGGCAAGGTGGAGGAGGAACAGGGTGAGAAGGTGAGCAGCTCTCTCCTCACTTGTCCATGTGTCTGTCCCTTGCTGGGGCTTTCGTGGCTCCTGGGAGGCTGAGCAGCTCCCCTTGGATTTTGGGCACTGTGGAGAGCTCTGTGTTAGCTGCCAGTGCTCAGGGAGCCCACTGGATCCCAGGGCAGCCCAAAGCCCTGCAGCAATCCGTGCTCATCCTTTCCCAGCACAGCCAGGACTGGGCTCGGAGCAGTCCCGAGGCTCCCGTTCCCCCAGCACCTCCCCCTCAGGCAGGTGGGACCGAGCTCCCAGCCCTGGCGCTGGGATTTGCTATCTCTGAGCCCCATCTCCTCCTCCCAGCTCGGCGTGTGCCAGGCAAATTAGAGGTTGGAAAGAAACACTCCACCCTCCCACCCACGGGCAGAGGGCTGCTCTCACCTTGGTTGTGCAAGGAGCTCAGTTCTCTCTGCAGGGAGAATGGGCATTTCTGGGCCTGCTGATTAAAGAATTTCTTGGGGACAGGGGAGGCAGAAGCTGCTGTGGTTTCTGCAGGCCTGATGTGTCCTTGTTTGTGTGTGCAGGAGGAGCAGGACCAGGAGCAGCCAGGACTGGAGGTAAATGCTCAGTTCTGTAAGGGCTGAGGTGGGGCTGTGCTCCTGCTGGGACTGGGACATGTGGGAGCCCTCCAGGACTGTTTGAACCCACCTTAATTGTATTTTAAAAATTAACCTCCTTTTCTGCCTGCCCTGCTCATCTCCACATCCCCATAAACCCAGAGCTGGCTCCAAGGATGTTTGCCCTTGGTTTTGCCTTGGTGGCTCTGGGCTGGAGGATGACACAGTGAGCAGCGCAGGTTCTTTACTTTAGAAGTTTGTTTACATGTAAAATGTAAAACTTTTCTGTAATTACTTTTGTGTAATTACAGGCTGTGGGTGTTGCCCAGGGCTGGGAATAGGTGAATTCCTTTAAGTTCCTCCATGGAGGAGGATAACGGTGTCTGCTGGGGAAGCTTTGGGTGACCCTTGGCCCAAAACCAAGATCCAGCCAAGGATGTGATTGTAGTGATGAAACAGATCAGTCACAAATCCTGGCTTGGGAATTCCCTGCCAGTTCCATGCTCATGGAACCATGGAATGCTCTGCTTGGAAGGGTCCTTCAGGGCTGCCCGTTGCCACCTCCTGCCCCGTGACTCCAGGCAGGGCTGAGCACAGGGCCAGGCCCCAGTGGAGCTCTTTGTGTCCCAGGAGAGCGAGGCCCTGCTGGACTCCCTGACGGGGCAGCCCCACCCCGAGGACATCCTGCTCTTTGCTGTCCCCATCTGTGCTCCCTACACAGCCATGACCAACTACAAGTGAGTGCAGCACCTTCCTGGGAGGGCACGTGGTGAGTTTGTGTCATTCACTTTATACCTTTATCCCTTTCCTTTGGGCAGGTACAAAGTCAAGCTCACCCCGGGCACCCAGAAGAAGGGCAAAGGTATGGTGTGAGAGCTGACTCCTTTCCTGAGCTCTGCCTGCTGAAGGCAGTGTGGGTTTCCAGCTGTTTCACTCTTCCCTGTGTTTTCCCAGCTGCCAAGATTGCCTTGCACAATTTCATGCAGTCCAAAGAAGCCAGTGCACGAGAGAAGGACCTGTTCCGCAGCGTGAAGGTGAGGCTGGCTCTGCAGTGTCTCCTCTGCAAAGCACAGCAGAATGGCCACAGCTGCCATTTTGGGAGGAAATGCTGCCAAAACTGAGTGTGCTGCTGGGTTTTTGTAGCAGTGGAGTTTGTCTGTACTCCTGGGGGAGGTCAGAGAGTCCTGCAGTGGTTTAGGGTGTAAAGGATCTTAAAAATCCATGGGCAGGGACACTTCCCACTAGCCCAGGCTGCTCCAAGCCCCATCCAGGCTGGCCTTGGACCCTCCCCAGCTCCTCTGGGAAAGCTCTGCTGCCCAGGCTGGGAAGGACCATGAGAAACTGAGCCTCAGTGGGAGCACTGGGCCTTCTGTTTCTGCACCGTGTCACTGTCTGACAAAAGCAGCATCTCCAGGAAACCCTCCGGGTGTGGGAGTGGGAATTCCTGGAGCAGGGGCAGGAGCTTGCACTGGGAGTTGAGGGTGGAGATGTCCTCACCAGGGCCAAGGCAAGGATCATCCCAGTGCTCCAGCAAGGCTTTCCTGCTGTGGTCACCTTCTCCTCTCCCACGTTCCCTAGGACACAGATCTGTCAAGAAATATTCCTGGGAAGGTGAAAGTGTCTGCACCTCACCTCCAGAACATGAAGAGGAAGTGATTCCATGCTGGGGGCTCTGGCCCCAGACCGGACCCGGAGCTGGGACAGACGGACACAGACCCACGACCAGGACTGAATTCCAGCAGCCAGGGCCTGCATTCCTGCTGGTTTAGCTGGACTCTGATACAAATTGCAGATAAATATGGAATTAAATTGCTGGCATTTGGTCAGGAATGTCCTCCCCTGCTGCTGCTTCTCTCTTCGAGCGCTCGTTCCCCACTGCTGGGCCAAGGCTCTGGAATTTGGGGCAGGAAAACTCCAGGGTGTTCAATCCCACAGCCTCCAGGAGGGCAGTGCCAGTGGAGAATGCTTCCTTTGGGAAGGTGGAATCGTGTTTCCCCCCAAACATCCCCTGGCTGTGGAGAGAGGAAGGTGCAGGCCCAGATCCCCCCAGCCCAGCCGTGCCAGAACCCTGTGGAGGGGAGGAAGAGCAGGGCTGGGAGTCAGGATAAACCCCCAGGATCTCAGGAATTACAGCACAGGAATTGTTCTACAAGTCAACATTTTTAATTAGTTTTTGAAGACAGCTTAAAACATGATTCCCCCCTTCCCCACAGCAGCACGGCCTGGCCCTGTCCCCCGTGTCCCCTCTCCATGTCCCTGCAGCCAGGGGACATCCCTGGGGCTGCTCCAGGGGCAGGGAACAGGCACAAACTCCCAGTTACACTCGCAGGGCAGAATATCTGCTACCTAAGGTTCACAATTGAAGTTCCACAACATAAAAATTCCAAAAAAAAAACAACCAAAACCAAACTACAGCCAAGCAGAAAGTAGTGGTGCTTTAACATCTCAAAGTTTACGACAGTTTATCGACCAGCAATGGGACAACTTCCAGATCCTGCTTCTAACTTCCAGATCCTGCTTCTAACTTCCAGATCCTGCTTCTCTGACCTTAAGCATCTGTGGCAGAACGTGAAGCTGTGCACTAAACACCACTAAAGCAACACTCCAGAGCCGCAGTGCGCTCAGCATTCCCAGCTCTGTCCCCATGGACATCCCCCCGCTCTCGGGGTCGGCCTCACCCCCTCGGGGTGCACAACCCCACACCTGGTTACAGCTGAAGCTCAGGCTCCTCTGGCATCAAATACATTTATTGGAACATCTCACACAAAAATAGGTTCTCTCTAGGCCATTCACATGCACGGGAGGGCGAGAAGCAACTACCTACACACAGAGGGCTCAGCACACGGGCCGGGCTCAGGAGCCCGAGGTGTTGTTGCTGCCGAAGCGCTGGTTCACGCTGTGCAGCAGGTGCTTGGGCAGGCAGTGCCACGAGCTGGCCAGCATCTCCTTGAAGCAAATCACGGCCTCCAGGCACAGCCTGCAACACGGGGCTGCTGTCAGCAGGGAGGGGCGGCACTGGGAGCTTGTGCCAGAGGTGCTGAGTGAGGGGAATCCTCCATCCTCAGCCCTGGCTGCTGCTCTGGTGGTGTTTGGTAGAGGCAGAAATGTTTGCCAGTATTTTAGGAACATGAACGGGTCTAATGGTGACTCTGCCCCACTTGTCCTAGAATCTCAGAATGGTTTGGGCTGGAAGGACTTAAATCCCATTCCACCCTTTTTCCATGGGTAGGGACACCTTCCACCATCCCAGAGTGCTCCAAGGCCTGTCCAAGCTGGCCTTGAACACTTCCAGGGATCCAGGGGCAGGCACAGGCATGCCAGGGCCTCCCCACCCTCCCAGGAATTTCCTCCTGCCAGCTAAGCTGGGACGCAACAGTTCCCTGCTGGGAATCTTACCTTACAAGAGATCTTGGTTGGAGGGAGAACACCAGGATTTCGTTACTGTGAGCCTGGAGGGTGGCAGAGACAGAGAGAGAATTGGTTCTGTGGGCTCTCAGCAGGAGCCAGAGCAGCCCAGGCCCACACAACCAGGGAATCCCAGAATGGCTGGGTTGGAAGGAGCTTAAAGCTCATCCTATTCCAGCCTGCCCTGGGCAGGGACACTGCAGGAAGCCTTCAGGTTTCCCAGCCTTGAGGCATCTGCACTGAGGGACTTTGGACAGGAGCAAAGCATTTCCCCCTCAGGCTCTGTCCATGCATCTTTGTGATCCCCATGAGATCAGCGCTCCAGATCCCACGGGAAAGGGAAGCTCAAAACCAACTCACAGCTTTGGAATGGGCCAGAAGGTTGTTGGCACAGCCCCCAAAGATGATCACCTCGCCCTCCTCGCTGGCACAGGCCGTGTGCCACAGCCTGGGAACAGAGAGCAGCACTGCATTAACCCAAAGCCCAGCTCTGGGAAGATCCCTCCTCATCCCAGCCAGGCCAAAGGGAGAAAACCAGGAAGCAGCGGTGCTTCAACTCCTCAACCTGGCTCAGGTCACTTCCCTGACCAGAGGGAGGAAGACTTGTGTTTCCCATGCCACACTGGTGCATCACAGATTTAAATGGCAGGTCAGCAACTCCTATTTCCTCAGCAGGAAGCCAAGAACAGCCCTGGCTGTGCACAGGATGAGCCCCTGGCAGGACCCTGGTGACACCAGCCTGGGTGGTGCCAGAGCAAGGATCTGGCTCCAGTTAGCTCTGCTGCTGGCACTCGCAGCTGAGTCCTCTGCAGCCAGATCAAGCCCCAAATCCCAGGATCAAACCCTAAATCCTCTGCTTCTGCAGCCAGATCAAGCCCCAAATCCCAGGATCAAACCCTAAATCCTGAGATCAAACCCTAAATCCTCTGCTTCCTGCTGTTTCACAGGCTGCCTGCCCTGTGTGGCCCTGACCTGGAATTCTGGGAGCACACAACAACCTGCACCTCTGGGACACGTGGTGGGACCTCTGGGACACAGAGCTGTGAGGAGGAACCAGGGTCCTCTCTCTGACAGCCACCACCAGGTGCTTCCACATCCCTTCTGTACCCAATTTCCAGGGAATTGTCTGCCATACCTTGGTTTTTCAGAGTAGTTATGCTCAAACTGTACCCACTCATTCTTGCTGATACAATAAATCCAGGCATCACCTGAAAACAAGCAAATTCCCAGATAAAAGCAGGATTCTGTCAGTTCTGGAAGTTGCTGCAATATACAAATACTCTGGTGTAGCACATCCCATTTCTGTTCTTACACAAATCAAATATTTTAGGAAAAACCTTATAAAACATTGGCTCCTGTTTGACAACAGGTGTTTAATGCAACAGAGATTTATGGGGGTGAAGGTGGAGAATTGTAAAGCTGTCACCAATTGTCATTTGCACTTTCAGACACATTTTTGGAGCAGATCAGTTGCTGGAAGTTCTGGTGTCTCCACACCCTCAGCAGCTCCTGCTCTGCGGAATGAGGAGTTGGAGCACACAGGAGGAATTTAGAAGGAATTCAAGGCAATCATCCCAGCTGTTCCAGAGCACAGAGCCACCACCAAATCCCTTTGGAATGACTTACTCAGGGGCTGCTTGTCCGTGGTGAAGCCTCCAAAGAGGAAGAGGTGATCCGAGGAAATGGGCGTTAAGGAATGCCACGAGCGGCCCACGGGGCAGATGCCTTGGGTGAGTCTGGATTGCAATAAAAACACCCCAAATCACCATCAGGGACAGCAAAATCCCTCTCTCTTTCCTGCCCTGATTATTTTTCAGGATATTATTATTCCTGGCATTATTATCTACAGGATACTGCAGTGACCCAAGGACAATTTGAATTTCTTTAGACACCAAGAATTTCACATGGATCCAGTCTGAGCACCCACATTTCGTTCCACTCCCACGTGTCCAGGTTCAGGTAGTAGAAGTCGTTCATTCTGGACTCCTGCAAGAGAGCAGAGTGTGGCTCAGATTCCTGCTGAGGTCTGGGCTGAGCAGAGCTGAACCAGGCTGGGCTTACCCTGTATCTGCCTCCAAACACGTAGCCCCTGTTCCCAACCGTGGCGCAGGCGTGGGCGGCTCGAGGGGACGGGGTCTTCCCCTGGGGAGGGACAGGGACAGCACAAATCAGTCACCAGAGGACAAGAGAGGCTCAGCTCAACTCAGATTTAAGGCCAGCAAGGATCAGAGTGAAAAAACACAGCCAGTAAATCATCCTGTGTGCAGTTTTTGGATGGATGGATGGAAGATCAGAGAACTCCTTGTATAAATTTTGTATAAATTTTGCTTTTAGCACAGGGTTCAGCCACAGAAGACAGACTGTAAATGAGACAGTGAGATAATAAATCCTTAAATTCATAAATCATCAAGGGTCCAAGGCCAGAATGGACAGTCTGGAGCAGCCTGGACTAGTGGAAGGCGTTCCTGCCCACGGCAAGGGTGGGACTGGATGATTTTTAAGGTCCCTTCACCCAAACCATTCTGGGATTCCATTAACACCATTTTTCTTTGAGTTTCTGAACCACCTGAGACCTGTATGAAGCAATCAGAGCAATTCTTTGGCAATCTGGAGCTCCTTGTCTCACACTTCACTTCCTCCAACCCTGTGGCAGCACCAGCCCGTTTCCCTGTTCCCGAACACTCCAAATGCGTGTATTTGCAATTAGCAGTGTTTAATTGCCTCCTGACCACAATTCAGCCCCCAGGGACAGGAACCAACCATCCCCTGGCACTGAGGGTGACAGCAAACCCCACTGCCCTGAGCACAAGGCAGCTGCAGCATCAACCAAAGCAAGCGACAGGAAAAAATGCATGACAACAGATCTAAAGAAAAGGCAAATTTCCTCTTTTTGCAGAGTGGATCTGTCTAAATGAATGGTTTAAATTCAGTGGAAATGGCTCCAAGAACACTCCTAAATAACATTACTGAGCTGTGACTTAATTAACTGACAGCAAACCATTAATTACCGTAGTTATGGGCTGGCTCCAAGTGAAAGTTTCAAGGTCCAGAATGTGCACGTGGTCGTTCCACCCCCTAGGAAGACCTGAATTCTTAAAAAAAAAAACCAAAAAACAAACCAACATAAAGAAGCAACAAGTTTTACCAAGCACTGATGAAATACTAAAAGTTGAACCAGAAATGGCTTCCAAGGTTACTTACCCAAAAAGAAGTTTCATCGAATTCAAACGTTCCACGTTGCTTCCCTTCAGGAAAATAGCCATAGCCTCCAAAAAATATCAGCCTGCAGGAAAACATGGAGCATGAGCTGTGAGAAACTCTGTCACATCTGTTAGTATAAATACAGAATATAAAGGCTGTGCTCAGAAAACCAGGGAAGCTCCTTGGTTTTCCAGGTGAGGGCTCTGATTGTGGCCTCACTGACCCTCCCACCCACACTGGATCCCTCTGGAGCTGTTTCCAGCCCCAGGCTCCCAAGCTCTGCTCCACTTCCAGACCTCTGAAGCTGTCAGGGTGTGCAGCCTGGTCACTGCACAGCGTTCTGTGGCCTTTGCCACGTTGTTCTCCTGCAGTTTAAATGGGAATTACCTCCAAGTTTCACTTTTGGGGTTTAGCCTGTGTTAGGAACTGGCATGGCCTTGCCTGGAATTCCTACAGGATTATGGAGTGACAGAAAACAACCTGCAGCACCTAATTAACCACCCACAAGTGCAGCCCTGCACAGATTCACATCTAAGCTGATGCTATCAGGTGTGCTAATGAGGAGCTCACTCCCCACATCAAGGAGCTGAAAAAGCAGCACTGAGGGCAATTCCACAGAGCCACGGAGTATCCCCAGCTGGAAGGGACACACAAGGGACTCCCCACCTTTCCTGAGTCTCTGCAGCAAATCCCACAGCAAATCTCCTAACTGGGAGCTCTCTCCATGGAGTGGCCAAGGCAGCACAAGAGCTAAACTCCAAAATCACAGAATGGTTTGGGTGGAAGGGACCTTAAATGCCACCCAGTGTCACCCCTGTCACGGCAGGGACACCTCCCACTGCCCCAGGCTGCTCCAGCCCCAGTGTCCAACCTGGCCTTGGGCACTGCCAGGGATCCAGGGGCAGCCACAGCTGCTCTGGCAATTCCAGCCCAGCCAGCAATTCCCAGTTCCAGGCCCTGCCAGGGGCTCTGAGCTCTCCCTGGAGCCTTCTCCTCTCCAGGGGAACATTCCCAGCCAGCCCCACGGCGACTGCAGGGAGGAGGAGGAGGAGGGAGAAGCCAAAAGAGAGCAGAGCCCTCGCTGGGGCCTCACCTGTTCTTGTGCACCCACACCCCCAGCTTGTCCTTGGACGAGGGGGGCACCCCCTGGCACTCCACTCTCACCCACTGCAGCACTTTGTCCGTGGATCTGGCATTTAGCATGTAGAACTGGGAAAATAAAGAGATTATTTAAACTGACATGGTCAGCTTAAAGCTTAAATCTGCTGTTAAAACAGCAACTTTAAATTAACATGTGTTGGTACAGAAATAGTAATAAATGAAAAGTTCTTTTCCTAGCTGAGAAGCAGAGCACTGAAAATATTTGCAGCAAAAGGTGGATTCACAAATCAAAAAGTTCTGACCTTTTTGCAGACTCAAACACCTTTTACACCACTAACAGGGTTCTGGGCACTGAGCTTCAGCATCCAAAAGCTGTTGTGGGATACAATGAAGGTGTGTAGAGAGCACAATCATCTTACAACTACAAAATGGTTCAGAAGTTTACAAAGTGACATTTTTTACAGTATGATCCCTTCTCTGCATTTATATAATTGTACAGGAAGAGAACCAGCTGCTACACTCACATTACTGAAATGTAAGAATGCCACAGCAGGAAGGGAAGAAATCACACCTTACAAATGAGGTTTGTTTCAAACTGTCTGCAAAAACTCTTTCCAACTCCTTCCAGTTTACATTTACTAAAGAAATATATGATCTTATATTTAAATGGATAAACTACCTATTCATATAGACCAAAACTATTTAATTTAAACCACAGTGCCAGACTATCAGAAAAGATCATTAATTAATTCCAGTTGAAGGGGTGGTGATGGGTCAGCGATCTTGGAGGACTTTTCCAACCTCAATGATTTTGGGATTCTGGGATTACCACGGACTCCAGGGAACAAAAACACTTCAAGCCACCCCAGACCAGTTCCAGATCAGTTCCTGATATTTTTCAGGCAACTCTGGCAACTCCCATCTTTTAAAATCAGCAAACTCAGAGGCAGGGACACAATCCAATTGCTGAGGGGAATTGCACAAGGACAGAACCGATGCCAGCTCGGGGTGTTCCTGCAGTGCTGTGAAACTTCCAGGGCACAACCCCCATGGGAAAGGATTATATTTTTATATTCTATTATTCTACTGGAAAGGAATTCCTGACCTTGTTGGTGTTGCCCCGGGCGTGGTGCCCCCCGAAGAGATAAACCACTCTGTCCACACACACGGCACAGCTGCCAGACATGGAGGGGGGAACATCTCCCTCAGTCTTGCTCTTCTTCCTGCAAAACCAGGGGGGGATCTTTCACCTGCTCCCAGTGAGCAGGGATGGGCTTCACTGGAGGGTTTTAATTGCCACAGTTCCCAGTTCTTCCCACCTTTTCAGATGTAACAATTCACAAAACGACTCTGTTACGATGGAGGGGTGGGGAAAAGGTAGTTTAGTTAATACATGGGTTTTTTGGGGGTAGGAATCCCATCTGCCCAGCTCAGGAGTTTGGAATGCTCAGAATCCTGAGGCAAAGAGGATTCACCTGTGTCAACTGCAGGTTTCCACTTTGCTCCTGGATTTTTCCTGTTTGTAAACGTCACAACCACAGAGAGGAGATTCCAGCCCATGCCCCAGGCTGTTCCTGACCCCAGGGAGGGCTGAATCCCACTTCCTGCAAAGCACTGAGCAGCTTCTATGGCTGCATCAACCTTGAAAAACAACTCCTGACAAGGCCAAGAGCTCAACAGGGATTCCCTGACCACCACTGGCATCAAAAGTGGTACAAACACAATTTCCAGCTGCTCTATCCTATCCCAGGAATCCCAAAACACCTCACACTGCTGGTGACACACTCCTATCCAGGCTGCCTGGCCCAGCTGCCTCTCCTACTTCATCCTGGAAAACCATATTGGCTGCTTTCACAGAAAAAAAAAAAAACAAACCTGAAATATCTGACACACTTTTGCAAGACACTGATAGGTGGGAACAAAGAGATCAGGGAATTCTCTCCCTGCTCAGTCCCTTTCCACGCCAGTTCAAGGATTTATCAGATTTTTCCCCCCAAATTAATGATTTACTGTACCATCTTCCAGTTTCCATGTTGTAGATCCATATCTCATCCCTAGGCAGGTAGAAGTCATAAAACCCCCGGACCTGGGCGTTCTGCAGGACAGGTCAGAGAAGGAAAAGCAGGGTTAGAAGGATATTTGACACATGGAATTACAGACTCCTGGGAATGTCTGCACCCCTCTGGGACCTAATCCCAGCAGAGATCACAGCAGGAGCAGTGCCTGTGCTTCCCACACTCCTGTGCCTCCCACCTGCACGGAGAGCAGCAATCAGCCCAATTTAGCACCTGCTGGGGACAATCAGCTCCCAGCAGAGCCAGACAGGGTAAATGGAAGTTAAATGGAAGTTAAACCTCCGTTTTACAGCCTGAGCCAGGGAGCAGAAATGAGCCAAAAGCTCCTTTTTCATTCCCCCACACCCTCCATGACAGGAGTTTATTTACTGAGTTCACTTTCAGTGAAACTGAGTTTCGGTGTCGGTTTCAGTGACAATGACTTTGTCACTGAAATGATTTTGTGGTGCTGCAGCACACGCACCCCCCTGTGTGACAACAACAAACCTGGGATCCTTACCACCCCAAAAAATTATTACCACCCAAAATGACAAATGACAATTACAAAATGTAATTACAAATTACTACCCAAAAATACAGTTGTGCAAATAAAACCACCACTCCCAGGGTGCACAATTCCCATCAGACAATACTCCCTTCACCTTTTCCCAAAGGCAAACGACACCCCAAAAATCCGTGTATCTGCCAAGCTTTAACACCCGTGATTTATCCCAACGTTGCAAAACACCCCTGGGGGCCGTGTTACAAATTGCTCGCTGGAGCTGCTGCGTTGCGGGGGAGGAATAACTCCGCAGAGTCCCGCCCGGGTGGATGGATGGGACAGTTCCCAGGCGGGAGCAGGGCAGCTGTACCTTGTATCCTCCCCAGACGTACATGCAGCGCCCGTCGGTGACGGCCACGTGCCCGCTGCGCTCCGCGGGGCTGTCGTTCTCCAGCTGCTCAAAGGCCTCCTCGGCCGGCGCCGGCAGCTCCTCGTCCGCCGGCAGCTCCTCGTTCTCATCGGCCATCTCGGGACGTGCTGCAGGCACAGGGACACGGAATTCCCTCAGCGGGATCAGCCAGGGCAGCTCCCGTCCCTCAGCAATCCCACCCTGCGCATCCCTGGCAGCTCCTGGAGCTCTGGCAGCCTCGGGGCTGTGCCCATTCCTGGGGAGCCTGGGCAGTGCCAGCACCCTCTGGAATAGTGGAACCTTTCCCTGGTATTCTGATCCTCCCCTGACACAGTGTGGGGCTTGGAAAAGCCAGGATGAACTACACACGGCTGGAGTCAAAAATGTTCCAGGCAGGGACTACTCAGTGGTGCACGGCTTGTAATGGTTACAGCTGCCAATGTGCCCCAAAGTGCCCGTTTTTAAATATATTTAAAATCTGATCTATAAATACTTAGATTGATTTGCCCAGAGCAGCTGTGGCTGCCCCTGCATCCCTGAAGTGCCCAAGGCCAGGCTGGAGCAGCCTGGGATAGTGGAAGGTGTCCCTGCCCATGGACAAGGTGAGCATTAAGGTCCCTTCCAACCCACACCATGTCAAAAAAACCCCACGATGTCAAAAAAAAAAAAAAAAAACAACAAAAAAAAACAACACAAAAAAACAATCCAAAGGGGAATAAATTTGACAGCTTTGCCCACAATAGCAGCAAATCCTGGAGCTCTTCAGTGTCCCCCACACAAACCTCCCACAGCGGCTCAGTGCAGGACCATGTCCCCATCCCACACAAACTCCCACAGAGCCAATGCCCCTGCTCCAAACCCGCGCAGAACGCCAAACCCCAGACTGTGCTGGGCAAACACAGCCCAAGAGCCCGAATTTGTGCACCCAAATCCAGGGAAAAGGAGCTCAGAGGGACAATCACACCCTGCATCCAGGCTGGATACTCTGCTGTTGCCACACACCGCTCCTGAGGGGTTTTTGCTGTTTAATTTTAATCAGTCCCGCCACGCAGACGCTGCACCACCTCCGGGGGGTTATCTCTGAGTTTTAATTACGATTTCTAATTTAGATTAGCAAGCCTTGCCCACAGCCCCGTGAAACAGGCCTGCTTCGAGCTAGCGGTGTCTTCACCGCCTCGGAGCAACAACAGCGATACAATATTTATCTAGAATAGATACGTACAACATTCTGTTATTCATTTTACCCCTCAGACACGCTGGGCCGTGTCCCTTCAGCCATTTCCCCCGCAGCCCTGCGGCTCTGCCCGCCCCCCTCACGCACCGCAGCCGGGGGCTCCTCACGACCCCTTCTCCTGTCGCGACATGCCCGAGCGCAGGGCGGGCCCGGCGGGCTCCTCACGACACGCTCAACTGTCGCGACATCGCGGCCGCCCGAGCGCTGCCCGCCGCCGTTACCGGCCCGGCCCGAGCCCGCCCCGCGTCCCTCAGAGCCCCCCGAGCCCCCGGCCCCGTCCCGCTCCTACCGCGGCCCCGGCGCTGCCGCTCCGCCGGCCCCCGCTCCTTCCCTCAGCCGCGGCCGCGCCGCAACATCCGCCGGGCGGGCGGCACCTTCCGGCGGCAGCGCGCAGGCTCCGGCTCCGCGAACGCGCCCCGGGGCAGCCCGGAGTTAGCACTGAGAGAGTCTGAACTGCCCCCAAAATTCACCTCGGGGCAGCCCGGAGTTAACACTGAGAGAGCCTGAACTGCCCCCAAAATTCACCCCGGGACAGCCCGGAGTTAACACTGAGAGTCTGAACTGCCCCCGAAATTCACCCCGGGGCACCGGGCAGCTCCAAAATTGACACTGCGAGAGTCTGAAGGGCTCCCAAAATTATCACTGGAGCACCCGGGCACGCCGAAAATCACCCTGAGGGCACCCGAACCGCCCCAGAATTAACACCGGGAGCGTCTGAACCGCCCCGAAATTAACCCCGAGAGCATCTGAAGTACCCCAGAATTCACCCTGAGGGCACCTGAATCACCCCAAAAAAATCACCCTGAGGGCACCCGAACCGCCCCGAAATTAACCCTGGGAGCGTCTGAACCACCCCAAAATTAACCCTGGGAGCGTCTGAACTATCCCAGAATTCACCCTGAGGGCACCGGCACCCCCAAATTCACCCCGGGGGCACCCGGGCACCCCCAAAATTAACCCTGGGAGCATCTGAACCGCTCCAAAATTAACCCTGGGAGCATCTGAACCGCTCCAAAATTAACCCTGGGAGCATCTGAACCGCTCCAAAATTAACCCTGGGAGCATCTGAACCACCCCGAGGGCACCCGGGCTCCCTAAAATTAACCCTGGGAGCGTCTGAACCGCCCCAAAATTAGCACGGGGAGCATCTGAACCATCCCAAATTCACCCTGAGGGCACCCGAACCGCCCCAGAATTAACTCTGGGAGCACCTGAACCACCCCAAATTCACCCCGGGGACATCCGGGCACCCCGAAGTTAACACTGGGAGTGTCTGAACCACCCCAAAATTAACACTGCAGCACCCGGGCATGCCAAAATTCACCCTGAGGGCACCCGAACCGCCCCAAAAATCACCCTGAGGGCACCTGAGCCACCCAGTTAACACTGGGGCACCCCAAAAATCACCTTGGGGGCACCTGAACGACCACAAAATTAACACTGGGGGCATCTGAACCACCCCAAAAATCACCCTGAGGGCACCTGAACCACCCCAAGATTGACCCTGGGGGCTCCTGAACTACCCCAAATTAACACTGGGGGCACCTGAATAACCCCAAAATTAACATCAGGACAATTGAACCACCCCAAAATTACACTGCAGACATCTGAACCTCCCAAAATCAACACTGGGAGCAAAAGTAACCAGGAGGGCAGCTGGAGCCCCCAAATTCACACAGGGGGCACCTGAACCTCCCCAAATTAACCACGAGGGCACCTGAACAACCACAGAATTTTACCTTGGGGCATCAGAACCACCCCAAAATTAACCTCAGGGGCTCTTGAACCTTGTAAATTCACCCTGGGGGCATCTGAAACCCCCCAAATTAACCATGGGGGCACCTTAGCCCTCCCAAAATTAACCTTGGGGGCACTTGAAGCCAACAAAATGAACCCTGGGGGGCACCTGAGCCCCTGCAAATTAACCTTGGGGCAGCTGAATCCACCAAGTCAATCCCAAACCCCCAAAATCAGACCCTGGGGGGCACCTGAGCCTCCCAAATCAAACCTTGGGGTTCAGGGGGGCATCTGAACTCCCCCTCCCAAAAATGGACAGGAGGGAGTTCAGCACATGAAATGAGGCTGTTAAAATAACCAGTAAGAAAACTTCCTTTTTGAAACAGATTTGCTCCCCCTAAAGCTCTTTCCCCAAAATAATTAATTTTTACAGACTTTAAAACCATCAAAAATGTGTCCAAATGCCTCTTGCTTCAACTCTCTATAAAATTTTAATGACTGTGCTCCTGTTAAGTAAATATTTGAAACAGAAAAATAACCAGTACTACATTTGTTTTCTTTTTTAAACAATAAATAAGCAACTTTGTTGTTGTTGTTGTTTTTTTTTTAACAAGAATGAAATATAAACTTTGCACATCCAAAATACAATATACAACTTATTTCCAAAAGGACTTCCTGATGACAGAAACAGTAAAACCAGGTGATGAACTGAAGTATTCCTATAGAGACCAGGTGATGGTGCAGCTTTTTCTTCCAAGTTCCACAATTCCCTGATGGATTTTCCTACTTGGAGTGTGAGGTGTGAGGCTCCAGGGTTGGATTTTGGTGAGAGCCTGGTGGAACCAACATTTGGCGGTGGTAAATTTGTTACCTTTAAGACTGACCAAGTGTGAATGTCCCCAAGACACCGAGGTGAATTTATCTTTTTGGGAAGGCTGATGGGGGTAAGGCCAAGGAGGATTTTTAAACTCAAACCATATTTTATCCAGCTGAAATGGATGGTGTCCCCTTCCAAAAGAACAAAAGGTTGTGAGGGCTGCGTGGCCAAAACCACGAGAGCAGAGGTGAACAATTATCTAGAAATGAAGCTGGATCACTTTTCCGTAACGCAGGAAACGAGAGATTCCCATAAAAAGGATTTGTTGTCAAACTTCCCTCAGAAACCCAGGCAGCTGCAGGGGAACAGCACAAAGCTCATGAACAAAGCCCTCTGAGGTGTCCCAGCAGCTCCCTGCCCTGCCTCATGTGGAGTGCAGCTGGCTTTGTCTCTCAGTCTCAGCTTTCCTCTCCTGCCTGTGGGTCATGGCAGCCCAAAAAGTGATTTTTTTCAGCACTTCCTGCAGAAGTTTGGATGGCAAGCAGGGAATTTGCTTCTCCAAGAGAGCTGAGTTCTTCCCAATGCAGTCAAGACACAGCCTGAGGAAGGGAAATAGAAAAAAAAAAAAGAAAAATTGAAGTAAATGGCTTATTTTCTAACAAATTACCCCTAGAAAAAGCTGATGTGTCTTAATTACAGGTGTTAATTACAGGTGCAGGGAATTACTCAGCACCAGTGATTCAACTGCTGTGCAGCATCACACACAGAAGGGTTCAGGTATTTCCTGAGGAGGAAATGGGGTATTTCACCCAATTTCTGCAGGAGCAGGTGGCTAAAACACCAGCTGGGGCAGTGGGAGGTGTCCTGCCCCTGGAACACGATGGGATTTAAGCCCAGCCTGAACCATTCTGGGATTCTGTAACTCCAACTCACCTGAGCAGGGAATAAGGCTGAGTCTGAAATATCAACAAGTCACTGCAGTGACCCTGAGCAAGAGAAGAACAGAACCATTAGAATGGCAAACAACTTCTCCACCTCAGCACTTCTCTACATTCATGGCACATTTATTGCCACGTGCAGGATTTAGAAATGTCCTCCTTGACCAACTATTTATAAGGAACCTGAATTACAAATTCCTTTTTATTCTGCCAGTCGAGAAAGCCTCAGGTGGGGATTCCTCAGTGGAATCAGTGGAGTGTAAATTATGATTAATTTATAATCTGTGTGTAAATTACTATGATTTCCTCAGTGGTGTGTAATTCGTAATGGTTTCAGTTACCAATTTGAGCAAATTGTTTGAACCAAACTCAATCTGATTTTTTTTTTTCTATTAAAATCCTATATGGATTTTAATTGAAAAATGAAAATAAATCAATTAATGTATTTATATACTGAAGTTCTCCTATAGAGACCAGGTGATGTTTCAGCTTTTTCTTACAAGTTCATTTAATTTTCTTCAATTAATATATTATTTATTTATTTGCTCAGAGGTTTTGGACTCCCCATCTGTGGAAGTGTCCAAGGCCAGGCTGGATGATGCCTGGAGCAACCTGGGATAGTGGGAGGTGTCCCTGCCCAGGCAAGGGTGGATTAAATGGAATTTAAGGCCCCTCCCAACTGAAACCATTCCATAATTTGGTATTAATTATGATTATCCCAGTGATGGGATTTGTTGTTCAGTTTACTGACCGTGTCCATAAAAAGCAAATCATCTTTGCTGCCCCCAAACACCATCACTTCTCCCTCCTGCCCGAGGCAGGCTGTGTGCCACAACCTGCAAATCAAACCACAAACACAATCAGGGCCCAAGGAACAAGGACCTGGGTGTTAGCAGCAAGAAAAAGCCATTATTTCAGAGGTAAAAAAGAACACCATAAAATTTATTACTTGCTTGTTTAGTAATATAAAATAAGAGAGCAATGTGACTCCCCAGTTCATGAGAGTTATTTTCATACAGACCAATATATTTTGTCATTATTTGACTTTTCTGTATTCTGGGCATTTAAACTTTGTCTTATTTATCACCACAGTGGAAAATTTTTTGGCAACTCTACAAACCAAGCTTTTGCCAAGCTTTTCCTTTTGCAATTTTCCACTTTCTTTGGTTCAGAAGTACAATTTTCTCGTGGCTTTCAGCCTGGGGGGGTTCTCAGTGCTGACACAGATCCCTGAGCACTTGGATCTCCAGTTCTCCTGTTCCAGTCTTTCCCTTCCCCCAGAGATTCCTGGGATCACTTGCTGTGAGTCAGTAACTTCCAGCACACCAAGGAAGTTTAATCATAAAGACCCCACAAAAGCAAAGCCTGACGTTGTAACTTTCAGAAAGATCCTACCCCTTCAGCAGCCACCCCTGGTGGGGATTTATTTGTCATGATTCCATTTTTCTGCTCTGTCACCACTGCTGATGGACTTTAGAGCCACTGAACCAGAATCAAACACACCACTGAAGATTCATGCAAAAATCAACGTCCCCACTTTCCTTCTCCCTTCACATCAGTCCTTAGCAGGTACCTCACCTTTTCCCTTCCTCATACCTGTGACAGATCTGTCTCTGCCTGCTCTGCATTAGGGAAACTCTGGGCTTGGTCACGGAGAACACGGGGAAGCCTTTCCTGCCTGGGCTCTGCTGACATCCTAGCTTGCAACCTGAGGCTTTTCCTACTGCCTGAGAGCTCCTGGCCTCCCATGGGCTGCTCTAACTTATCACCTAAACATTCTAACAAAGCACGTTATTCAATCACACAGGGCTCTTCACCACAGCAACAGCATCACATGGCAATGAAAACAGGAGAATCCAGGGGTTAAACATTTGTTCTCTGTTTCAACCCAGCATGCAAAACTGAAATTGATGGACAGAGGGAGGAAGAGTATTTTATATCAATTATGGGAATGAAAACATGGGGAATTTCAGGGGTTAAACATTTGTTCTCTGTTTCAACCCAGCATACAAAACTAAAACTGATGGACAGAGGGAGGAACAGTATTTTATATCAATTATGGGAATGAAAACAGGAGAATCCAGGGGTTAAACATTTGTTCTCTGTTTCAAGCCAGCATGCAAAACTGAAATTGATGGACAGAGGGAGGAAGAGTATTTTGTATCAATTATGGCAATGAAAACATGGGGAATTTCAGGGGTTAAACATTTGTTCTCTGTTTCAACCCAGCATGCAAAACTAAAATTGATGGACAGAGGGAGGAAGAGTATTTTATATCAATTATGGGAATGAAAACAGGAGAATCCAGGGGTTAAACATTTGTTCTCTGTTTCAACCCAGCATACAAAACTAAAACTGATGGACAGAGGGAGGAACAGTATTTTATATCAATTATGGGAATGAAAACAGGAGAATCCAGGGGTTAAACATTTGTTCTCTGTTTCAAGCCAGCATGCAAAACTGAAATTGATGGACAGAGGGAGGAAGAGTATTTTGTATCAATTATGGCAATGAAAACATGGGGAATTTCAGGGGTTAAACATTTGTTCTCTGTTTCAACCCAGCATGCAAAACTAAAATTGATGGACAGAGGAAGGAACAGTTTTTCTACCAATTATGGGAATGAAAACATGGGTAATTCCAGGGGTTAAACATTTGTTCTCTGTTGTAACCCAGCATGCAAAAGGTTGGCTGAGTAAAACTGATGGACAGAAAAAGGAACAGTATCTTCTACCAGTTATGGGAATGAAAACATTGGGAATCCAGGAGTTAAAATTTGTTCTTTATTTCAACCCAGCATGCAAAACTAAAATTGATGGATAGAGAGAGGAACAGTATTTTCTACCAATTCAGGATCACCTGAGAAGGCAATTCTTTAGAAATTGCTAAAGTGGAGGTTGAAGGAAATGATTCTTTACAGAATTTAGGGAGGGAATCAGAGTTGCAGAAGCATCAGGAAAAGACCCTAATAAATTTCATTACAAAGTAATATATAAAAGAAGTGCACATAGATGTGTTACTGCTCTGCATTTGAAGAGCAACTGAACTGATTTAAAGCTTTTCCAGCTGCAGAGATCCTGCAGAAAATAAAATTATGGTACAAATACTTGACACTTAAGCAGCTCAGTGCACGGACAGGCTTTTGGCGTGGCTGCTTTTATCCCAACCCCCCTGGACACGTCCCAATGTGTTACTGCTCTGCATTTGAAGAGCAACTGAACTGATTTAAAGCTTTTCCAGCTGCAGAGATCCTGCAGAAAATAAAATTATGGTACAAATACTTGACACTTAAGCAGCTCAGTGCACGGACAGGCTTTTGGTGTGGCTGCTGCAGGTGGCCCTGCCTCGTCAGGGGGCTGCACTGGAGGGTCTCCAGAGCTCCCTTCCAACCTTAAAACTCTGGGACTTCCTGGAAAAATCCAGGAGGTTTGGGCTTTGCTTGAAGGAGGGGAGATCCTTTAGTGCTAGAAAGATTTAGGTCCAGGAAAGCTCCTGGACCCAAATCCCAAAACCCCCTGGGGCTCAGGGATCCCTGTCCCTCCCAGGCACAGCTGCTGCTCCTGGGGCTGCTCCCCAGCACATCCCAGGAAAACCTCAGCACAGGGAAGGTCTGGGAGACTCAAGAACTGAGCCCAGAGCCCTGGCTGCTCCTGCTGTGTTTAAAGACTCCTCAGTCCTGAAACAGCATCAAAGTATCACTGATCATAAACTGAGTATCTGGTGAGGCTGAGGGCTGAAGAAGAGTCTGAAGGGTAAGAAGGCAAAAAAGTTGGTTTAGCTGTGGCTGTTTTATTTAAGAGACAGCCCAGAACAGGATAAAACAGGAAGAACATTAATGAAGGTGAAGATATTTCAGTAACAAGGCAGGGAGCAGAGCAGAACTGGACATTTTTGTATCAGAAAAAAGGATATAAAACTGTGATATATTATGATATAAATATTGCATTAATAACATAATAAATAAAAGAAAAAATAAATATATTGTGATATATATTATGGTATAAAATTGTGCTGGGAGTTCCTGGGTGAATGAAGGGAATTAATTAATTGAAAATCTGAATATTTACTATCTACAGCAAATCAGTTCAAGAGTTTGTAACTCAGAAACACAGACAATTCTTCTAACACTGGGTTAACACTCAATTTTGCCTTTGAACCTTCTTGCCTTTGCCTTGAAAGAGGAGTCAATTTTTCATGGTTCTCTCCTCCCCTGTTTCTAATAATTTATAAGTATTAATGAGCTTTTATTATTCTCCTTGGTTATTTATTCCTCCAATTTTTATGGGTTTGTTTATAGAACAGTAATTTGGCTGCAGAGCACCAGGCCAGTTGGACATCCAGATCCCTCACCACAAAAAAAACACCTTTTCATGCAAATAAGCATCAAATACACAAATTAAAAATGAGGTACATGGCAAAAAAGGTGTTAAAGCAAAATGCATTAATATTCTAAAATATTCTTTAAAAATACAGTTCAGTAATCTAAAACCTGGTTCATTTTGAAAAAGGATTCCATTTCAGCCCACATGATTTGTGTTTCTGTACCTGGGCCTGCTCTTGGGCAGATGGGTGAGCTGCTTCCATCCATTTGTTGCAATGCTGTGGATCCAACCATCACCTGCAATGTGAGAACGCTCATTAATGGGGTTTTTGGGATCAAAAATTAGCATTTTATTCACACAAACAGCTCTAAGAGCACGATTATTTAGGTAGCAGGAACATCAGCCCTTCATGAAGCTGCATCTTTTCACACTTGTGGTTTAATGCTGTCCCAGAAACCCCCTGCCCTGGAATTAAAACACACCCAACCCCTTTCTTTTGGGTAAATTGAGAAAATCATCTCCTCCCAGTGGATTTATCTGTGAAATTATTATTTAGCTTCAAATAATTTTTGCCAATTTCAGTTTTTTTCACGGAAACAAGCTGCCTTTTCTACAAAAGCAACTGCTACCAACCATCCCAAACCCTGTTTGTGTGATGTGAAATTCACAACAGAATTAGAATGATTTCTATTACCCTAAATTACTCACTCAAAGGAACATTATCAGAGCTTAGTCCACCAAAAAGGAAAAGTCTGTCATCCCCTATGGGGGTCAGCGTGTGCCAGGAGCGATCTCTGGGCTTCTCTCCACTGATATTAATCCTGGGGGAAACAAAGAAACAAAACCCCCAAATCTTCAAACAATGCTGAAATTGTTTAATTGTTTAATTCAAATTAATTTGGCAGAAAATTTCAGTTTGTCCTGCAACCACCTTGGGTGTTTTCCCAGTGAAAAAAAGAGATTAAATACACAAATAAATTCCATATACATGTAGGGAAACAGTTAATTGAGACAAAATTGATGAATCCTGAGGGGCTACAGGCTCTCCACTCCAAGGAAAATTATTTTAAATGACACAAGGATTTGTGGTTTTACCTCTGATCCAAAAGCTACCACCTCTTCAACCTGGGGCTCACCCAGACTTTGAAATAAATATTAGTAAAGAGGGGATTTCCTAAGTACAGAACAGATGAAGGTTTATTATTGATAAAATCTCATCTGAAATCTTTTCAGCTGAGGTGTATTGAAATTGATTTTATTTTAGTTGGGTTTGCTTGAGAATGTGAACAGTAAAGATCCTGACATCCCAAAAAACCAGTTTATCAGAGATACTTAAACAAGGATTGCAAAAGTGCCCTGCTAAATTTGGCACTCAAGGCCAAGTTGCAATATTTGTTTGAATCCAAGTGAAGAAAAGAGGCTTCTAAAATTGGCCAAGGGGCAGCCTGGGCTTTGATGGTTAAAAAAAAATATCAAACAGATGCTGATAAATGATAAATTTCAATTTTCATGCAGAAGAAATGATGAGTACCAGAAATAACCAAATATTGAATGAGTTTAGTAGAGCTCAAGCAACTTCTGGCAGTGGCAGCTGAAATGAATTTTGCAATCTCCTGCTGGATGCTAATCCTGGGTTAGCAGATTCCTATTATGCAATTCCTTAAGAAAGCTGGGCAGAGTTGAGTATGAAAAAAACCTTGATTGGTTAAAAATAAAATAATCATCTATTAATTAATAATTATTGGCTCCTTTGTGATCAGAGGAATAAATAATAATAATAAATACAAACAGTTTATCTCCTGTGAGGTGGCAAGAGTAGCAGATACTGTGAAAACCCTTTCCCCAATATCTTTAATTTTTTTTTCAGTCTTAAATATTTTTTTTTAGTCTCTAAAAGACTCTTTGCAGAGCTGCTGCAACAGCTGAACAGAAGATTCCTACGTTTATAGTGATCTAATATATAAATATATTTAATATATAAATTTACAGTGAACCAATATATAAATATATAAATATTTTTACATATATACTATACTCAATCATGGATAAATCTTATGAGCTTTTCTTGGATCACAATACAGAAATAACTTGAATTTTGGAAAAATCTTCATTTTTTGAGGATTTCATGGCCTTTTATGGAAAAGACCTTTTCCCAATTTGTGCTGTAACTACAGAGAGTAAACCCAGCATTCAAAAAGCCCTAAAACCTGGAATTCCATCTGGATAAATGTAGCCAGGCTGCAAATGAGGGTGTTAAATCACTCCATGCTGTGCTTCAAACAGCACCATCAATGCTCTGGTGCAGAGCAGGAAAAGCTCAGTAACCACTATCAAAATTCAATTCCACTGAAATCCCAGCCCAGCAGCTGTTAGGAGTCCCCAAACCCTCATTCTCCTCTTGGAAAAGCTGCAGGAGCAGCTCTGGAACTATTTAACAATATGTTTCCATCTTCTAAATTCAGTTTTAAGTGTTACAAAAGCAAACCTACCTTCCAGACCAAGTCCAAGTGTCTAAATTCAGGCAGTGCAAATCATTCATTCTGGTTTGCTAAAACAAAGAAATAAAATCCCACTCGGGTTATTTTAAGCAAACAATAAACAAAATATTTCAGTGAGGCCTTCCTGGGACAGAATATTCCAAGTACCAATAGTTTGAAGAAATCTGTACCCACTTGCCTTAATATAAATCTGAATTATGTGGCAGATGAAAAGCTTTTCTCCTCACAAAAACCATGCAACTCTCAGGAAAGTGCCTGGCAGAAATATTTCCAGTCATGCAACAGCACTATGGGGCCAATTTTAGCTTCTAAAAGTGAAGAACTTTGTGGGGATTTATCCAGTTCCTGCAAATGTTTTTAATTTCCATCCACAGAACTCCTGGCAGGGCAATGCAGAAGGTGTTTTACTCTCCTATTGTTGCCTGGTGTTATTTTCCTTGACACTGTGATCAGAAGTTTGGATCCTCCTGTCTGGTCACTACTCCTTGGAGTATCCTGGTAGTGCTGCACTCTGGGTATTCCCAGAAATGTCCATCATTTGTGCTTTTCCCTGTTTTCCTTTCACAAAGTGACCACCAGCAAGCATTTGCCATCAAATAAAATGGGAAATCTTTCCTCTTGCTCATCTGCCTGGGGTTTGAGATGGAGGAAGTCTCTGCCTGCCTCGGGGTGGTGGAGAAGGTGGTAAAAGGAATTCTTTGCTTGCCTGGGAGCTGTGATTCCCCTGGGAGCTACAAAAACCATCTGGGAAGTAGGGAAATGTTTCTTGCCTTACCTTCCAACTCCTTTTCTCCCTGGGCAGTCCATAGATCTATTAGAAAAAGCCTTTCTCCAGCTTGCAGATCCTCTGAGGCAGAACTAGGCTGAAAGGAGTGCTTGTACCCCAGCAGTGAGGCTGAGGGACCCCCAGAGCTGCCCAGCAGAGCTCTGGGAAGTCTCTCAGGGATTTCAGGGAACAGCAAGGATTTCAGGAATTCTACAACCTCCTCTGCCAAGCACTGCTAACCCTGCTGGGCTGGGAAGGGAATGGGAAGAGCATTTTGGGGAGGGCAACAGGATAAAGACAAGCAGATTGTCAGGGTTTGGGGCATTGCCTCAAAACAACCTAAAACCAACCAAGTGTGGTCCAGCTGACAGCCAGGGGAACAGATCTGTCTTCCATGACACCTCTCTCCAGTTTCCTACTGCTCCTGGTGCCTTTGAAGGGCATGAGGGGATCAAATCATCCAAGCTGAAAGCAAAATGCAGTTGGGATCTTCTGTACATTTGGGGCAAACCCAACATCCTGGCCTCTACAACTGGAAATACTCAATCATGTTGGAGTAACACAATTTGATATAAAGGATATCTATCAAAGGAAGTTGCTGTTATGGTGAAAATTAAGGTTTCAAGAGGATCCTGTTCAAGACCTCCTCGCTGACTTTCCTTTCCTGGGCATTGGGCAGAAGATGGAGAAATTCTCTTTCCTGCTCCCTGGGAAATCAAAAAATCTTTGCATTCTCATGGTTCAATAGCTGGGCAGATGCAGAATTACAGCAACCTCATTTTGAATTCAAAACACCAACTGTCCAAGATTGAGGCCTTTAACAAATAAAAGCACCTTTCTACCCAACCCTTCTTTGGGAAGCTGGAGCCACACAGGTTTACAGGACCATCACTTGCCACACAGCTCTCCTGCAGCTTCTCATGCACTTCTCTCTCCTCCTCTATTTCATCATTCTGCTGCCAATCCTGAAATGATTTTTAATAGGCTTAAGAGCACCAAGCCTCCTAGGAGGGTTGGAATTTCCCTTGGAGCTCCAAGGGCTCCTGAGGCACTCTGCTTATCTCTGGCAAGTTGATGTCTTGGCAGCCCAGTGCACGTTAGGCAGGAGCTGCTTGGTCTCAGGATTAGCACCATGAGAGGCTTTAAGGGTGACATTATTCCCAGCTCCCTGCTGGGACAGGGAATTCTGCAGCTCTCTCTCCTGGATTTACAATCAAAAGCTAGCCCAGCTCCAAGCTTTGCCAAGAGAAGGATTGCAGCTCCACGGATCTTCTGAGCTTAGCTGACAGGAAATACAAACATGCTTACATTAAGGCACCAGATGTGTGAAGAGCTGCTGCAAAGACTTTGGTTTATTCACTTCATTCTCAACATGAAAATTTTCCACTTAAATCAAACATAAGACTCACATCAACTTCTGGACTAACTCTCCTTCCTTCCCACTTTCTCCCATTTCTGTTTTTCCAGGGGCTTACCTGAAGGAACTGAGTCCACATAACACTTCTGAGCCTGTTTTCAAATGATTCCTGGTACAACTGATTCTCATCATCATCACCATCATCATCATCATCTTCTTTTACCAGTTCTAGCTCCAAGTTTGGAAAAAGGTGCCCTTTCCTCCCAGAAAGATGAATAGGAGAAGCCTCATGACACTTCCTGGCCCTTTCTGGTTCCTTGCAGAGCCTTTTCCCTGGGAAGATTTGTATTATGGTGAACTAGAAGGAGAAGGAGGAGCAGAGCAACCCCGTGTTTGCTCCTTAATTTCTGGAGAAAAGCAAAACTTCATCCTTTGGGGAGGAATTATTCCTGGTGTCAGGAAATTTACTGGCTTTCTGCTGTCTTTAGCTTTTTCTTTTCATGACTTACATTAATTCCTCAAGCCCCACTGAATGTTCCCTCACCTTTTTATGTTTCCTTCCATTTATTTCTAGGATAGAAAATGGATCAATAATAATCACCAAGGTGAAAATTACACTTGCTGCTCTCCTACAGAATTAAACACAGCTTTCCACAATTTCACTCTTCTCTGACACGGGTTCCCAAGTGGTTTCACTGAAATTTAGCAAGTTTTTAAGGAAGCTGAAGAGAAAAACCTTTTAAGATCAGAATGCTGTAGTCAAACAGAGTTAAACAGAAGCCTGAGGGCAAACCCTCTGAGGGCAGTGGAGGAATGACAGGTGAGCTCCAGCTAAATCAGAATTTCACTGGCAGAGGCTGCAAGGAACCCCAGCTGGAGTTAGAGAGCAGTTCAAGAGTGCAGCAACCCCAGGGAGGGCACAGAGCCCTCCCTGACAGAGCCCTGGGGAAGGAGGCTTTGCAGGTGCTCAGGAGGAACTGGCAGGGCAGGACCAAATCATCCAAGGGACCTTTACAGCCCCACTTTTGGGGTTTTCCCTGAGGGAGGAGCAGGACTGGGCTGTGGTCAGCAAGGGTTCAGCTGTGGGCGCACAGGACGGGGCACAGGGCTCACTCAGGGCATGGATAACCCTGTTTTTCACTCTCCTCAGATCTCTTTGTTTCCTTCAGTTATCTCCAAACCCAGTTTGTCCAAACCTACAGCTCTGGGAGGTGCTGAGTGCAGCTCTCTCAGGCTTGAGGAACAATTCCAGAGATCCTGAATCAAAGGTCACATAATGGCAGGAACAAACAGGATCCATTTTCATTATTTTCTTTTCTGTTTGCTCTGGAAAGGCACTTAAATAAAACTTCCTGCAGGTGTGGGAAGTGGCTGGACATGGTGTGGTCACTGAGCAGCAGGAGTGGAAGGAGTGCAGATTAGCCAAAGGAATATTCCAGCAGGAAAATCAGGGAATGGGGAACAAAACGCAGTTTTACACTGCTTGCTTTGCCAGGATTTGGGAATATAAGGGTGAGGCTGTGGCAGCTTTCCAAGGTGGAGCTGGAATATGTTCATTCCCAAACTAATTCCTTCTCTTTTTTAGGCCAGAACTACAGGAACACAGCACTGGGGGCTCTCAGAAGCTTCTTCACTGTCAGTTTTGGAGATAGAAAACATCCAGGCTCATCCTCTAGCTGAGTAGGATTAAAGGTTCTAAATCAGCTGTAGTGAAAAGAGCTAAAAACTTCCATTAAAATAAAACACAAGAGTGCACAGTCACTGAAATTGGGCGGGTTTTTAACTTGCCTTACAGGATCTGTTTCTTACATCAACGCTTCAGCAGAGAGGAACTGAGTAGAAAATCTCCTTTAATTAGCACTGGAGAAATTCCAAGTGCTGCTGAGAGGTTGGAGTATCTCCCTGCTTTAATCAGGGGGGTGGTGCCTATGGCTTTTTGCAGTTAAAAAGAGTCAGGAAGAGTAAAAATTACACAGCCACAATCCAACCCTAAATTATTTATGCACAGATTGCATCCTTTTGTCTATGACCTCTTCCATTTCAGTCACTTATGTGCAAAAAGTAGCAAAATTCAATTAGAAAGCCAACTCAAATCTGTTATTTACCACACAGTCATCTGTGTTTTACCTTTTTTGGGACAATCATTAACATTACAGACAGAAATATTCTTCTTTTTGTAGAGGGTGATGACAAGCAGCATCCTGGATTCAGAGCCCTGAACATCCAGGTTAGGCCAAAGACATTTGGGATTTTTTTTTTCCTACTACAAAATGACAAGAAAAAAAAAAAAAGAAAACTGCCAGGAGAATAACATGACTGCTAAGAAAATATTGAATTACCAGCACTCGTCCTCCAAAGATGTAACCTTTATTTCCCAGCACAGCACATGTGTGAGCTGCTCGAGGCTGAGGTGGATCTCCACCCTGAAAGAAGCAAAATAATCCTTCAGAACACCAGCAGCCTCCTGCACAGTTTTATTTTCTGATCTACAAATCATCAGGAACTGCTACTAAAACCTCTGGAAATCACATCTTAAAATTTGATGCTATGTCCACGTGCCAAAAAGTTCTCCCTGTGTAAATCAGAACTGAAGGTGGCAAAACTGGCTTTTACTTTGCAATGGTAATTTTACATTTTGCATTTGGTTTTATAGGGATTTTAGAACATCTTGTAAAGACTATAAAAAGCTGCCAGACACTGTTTAAAATATACAACTTCTGCTGAGTTCTTACATAAACTCACCTGGATTTTATGAACTTTAGAGAATATTTTTATCTCAGTAAGGCAGAGCTCTCCTGTTATCTGTAACAGGTTATCCATGGTAATTACACATGGACACAGATTTCCAGAGGGCTGGAGCCCTTCTGCTGGGAAAACTGGGAATGTTCACCTGGAGAAGGCTCCAGGGAGAGCTCAGAGCCCCTGGCAGGGCCTGAAGGGGCTCCAGGAGAGCTGGAGAGGGACTGGGGACAAGGATGGAGGGACAGGACACAGGGAATGGCTCCCAGTGCCAGAGGGCAGGGATGGATGGGAGATTGGGAATTGGGAATTGCTGGCTGGGCTGGAATTGCCAGAGCAGCTGGGGCTGCCCCTGGATCCCTGGCAGTGCCCAAGGCCAGGCTGGACAGGGCTTGGAGCAGCCTGGGACAGTGGAAGGTGTCCCAAATTTCTAAAGCACAATAATTATTCAAAAGTCAGTAAAATCCCAGCAGTGTCAAGACGTGAGGCTGAAAACCACTCACTCGAATTGTTGGTTGAGACCAAGTCTGTGTGGTTGTATCAAAAACATGAACATCATTGTGCCATCCCCAGAATATCTGCCCTTCCTAAAAAAAAAATAAAAAAGAAATAAAAAATTATTTTAATATCTTTCTGCTTAGTGAAGGACACAAACCTGGAAGGGATCTGTCCGAACAGAAAATACACTAAAACAGGCAATTTCATGAAAATGTGTGGTGATATTTGAAGAATGCTGCAGCAGCTTAGATTCACTTGAAGGTCAGCAGCACCCAGGGATGTTCAGGCTGGTGACACCTGAAAATTGGCTTTGGGCCCCAACATCAGACACTGCAGCAAATTCCACCTTCTAAATTTTGTTGTAACACACTGAGAAATTAAGAGATTGTAAAAAACCAATTCTTGGGTGTCAGTCTTTAACAACTGATGTCAGGAGCTTCCTGTCAATACTCTGCTCAGTCATCTTTGTACTAATTGTAAGGAATTACTGTAGGAAAGTTGATCATCCAGGCATCCTTCTGGAAAGTAATTCAATAAATTAAGTCAGAGTATTTGTCAGCTAGACAAATAAGTCAGCTAGATGTGTGAAGCTATAAAGTACCTAATGTTTCTTCAAAGAAATAAACTATAAAAATTATTAAATTACATTATAAAAATTATTAAGTTTTTCTGGGATTTTCAGCTTTAAAATATGCCTTCAGACTAAAATCCTACCTTTTCCCCACTTTGACAGCATTTAATTCACTGCACTCCAAGCCCAGCACTGGGAGTTTGGAATATGTGGAACAACCACCACTCCCAACGTGCAGTAATTGGAATTTTAGACCTTAAAAAAGATTCCAAATTTGCATTTCTGCTGATGCTATAAATAAAAGAAAAATCATATTTCCATGCTCATCAAGGGTGATAAAAAGGATGTTTTTTTCCCCAATCAGAAAGCAGCAATCAGTGGGAATGGGGACAAATCTCTTACCCAAAATGCATCGTGGACGTCGAAACAATCACTGAGCTCGTTGTGCTTCCTGCAGCCATAACCTCCAAAATAAATTAGCCTGAAACAACAAAACCACTTCATTCTTCTGCAGGGAAAATTAAAATGAATAAGCTGCAGTAATGAATATTTTGGGTTACTGCTGCACTAGCAGCAATACAAACAATGAGAATATTTTGTGTTGCACCTGATGATGCAAACACAACAAGGTGAAGGTCACAGCCACGCCCTGAGCAAACCTGACTGACACCCACACAAGGAAATCATTCAGGACACCTCCAAGTCTCTGTTCCTCTCCCCAAAAGTTTATTTCCAGTGCTGTTCTCAGGCAAAAATGGGAAATAAACCTCAGCTTCCTTCTCTGCCTTCCCTAGTGAAGTTCCCATGCAGCTCCTGCTGCATTTTTTGTTTTATGTGTCCTATTTTTGGCAGGAAATGTTCCCAAGGTTTGTCCCACAGGACACAAAAAGTCTCTTTTTGGCTTAAAATAAAATTTTTGAACCAAGCACCACTGAACCTCTCATTGCAAGGATCCTCACACACCTCCCAGCCTAATATTCCACCCAGGAAAGGGCCATTCATAAATCATCTTTTTTTCCATCAAAGGGTTCCATTCTATCATCTAAAACAGGTGATTTTCTAGCATGCAGGTGACACAATACTTTGAATAAATGCATTTAGTTTTGAATAATCTTGTGTTAACAGCTAGGGAGTTGTTCAAATATCTGTATTTTCCATCTCCTGCAGTTGAATTTGAATTACAAACCCAAGATCTGGCACTCAGGGGCATTGCACAGCTTATGCAAAACCTCTTTAGATGTGGAGTCCAGAAAGAGATAAATCATTTCCATCTGATAAATGTGCACTATAAATCACATCCTGACTTGTTTGTAACAGATTCAATAACAAATCACTGACAGGGCACCTGCTTGTGATCACTTCTGCCTCATTACCCAGACATTTTCCATAATAAACAGAAAACCTGGAGTATTTCTGTTTAGCCAAGTCTGTTTTCTAAACACACTTAGTCACTTTTCCAACACAAATGTCCAGCCTGACTCAGTCCTTGCAAGACAAAGATAATCCCTGAAATGCCTCTGCAACTGCCAGCTGTTAAAATCCTTGGGAACACACTACATGGATTTATTGCAGGTAATAATTTAATGCTTAAAATAATGAACCTTGCAGAGAAAGTAATTTTATACTGGTTTTTAATGTGTTAAAATCATGTCATAGATGCATGATAGCTTTCTAAAGTGTAAAACATTCCACAAACTTGCCCTAGAGATCCCAGCCCTCTCCTGAAGTGGGGTTTTATTTGTTACTTCAGCTCACACCTGAGAAAACTCTGGTACGAAGTTGTTACAAAATCCCTCAGCAAGTCAAGCTAAAAATCAGTTTCCTCCATCCCAACCCTGAGTTCTCTTCACTTTTTAACCCCTTCTCTCTGCAATTAACACAAATTAAGTATTTTTAACGTGTTACCTGTTTTTGTACACCCAGCAGGAAAGTTTGTCACGGGGTGTGGGAGGTTGACCTTTAAAATTTGTGATTTTTTTCCACCTGTAGGTTCCGGTTTTTGTTCTCAAATTGACGTAATACAGCTTGAAAGGAAAGAAAAATGACAATATATTCAGAAAAAAAACACAAATCACCACCAGAAAAAAACAACCCACCACCCCCAGAAGCCTGGAAGTAACAGAGGAACTGGCAGTGAGTTTACAATGAGAAATACACCACAAAAACGAAGTTAAAATAGGAGAATTGGCAGAAAGTTTCACCAGAGGCTCCATTTCACTGATTTCCTAGTCAGGAGTCAACTGTGACATTATTTATGTTCCATTATGAGGCAACTGATTTCATCTATTTTGTTAATTCAGTTACAAGGAAAGCTGGTAGCTCTATTTTAACCTTAATTATTACCTGATTATTTAAAGCAGTGAATTGCTATCAAAGAGCAAAAAGAAAAGTGATATTCAGAGATTAGTCTCAATTAAGGTTGTCAGAATATTTTTTTAAAACCAATTGGGAAAGCACTGGCATAAATATAGAAGGTTTTAAAAAAATAAAGCTGTTCCTCAAATTTCTCTTTAATTCAAATACAAATACACCAAATAAACAGCAAGGTCAGTATTAATACTTATGAAAATACAATATTATGGGGGAAAAAAGACTACAATACCCGATTGCTGTATCCTTTATCATCAAATCCCCCAAAAATGTACAGCTTCCCATTGATGCTGGCCCCACAGCTGCCTGACATGGAGGTGGGTAACTCCCCTTCCATCAGGTGCATTGTCCTGAAATTTAAAAAAAATACATTATTAAGTCCCTTCCAATCTGCCAAAATGTAACAATCCCAAACAGATTTATTCAGAATTTTTAGACTTAAAGGTGAAAATACTGTTTGGGCCATAACTAGGAGCAGGAGCTGCAGGTGAGGTTGGGCTCCTGTGGTGGAAGAGAACTTCCAGGTGGATATTGTGTGTTTATAAAGTATCTTGATTCTTCTGGAGGTGAAATTCACTTTAGGAGAGCTTTAGTAGAGCTGAAACATTAATTACTCAGAATCTGGAAATATTAACTCCAGGAACTCCTGAAATGAGAATCTGGCATTGCTGGGATGTCAGAAATGGAAAACTGAGATTCTGCTGTGCCCTGCACTCAGCTCACTGAGTGTGGAGCTGTGCTGAGAGCTCAGGCAGGCCAGGAGATCCTGGTTAAATATAACCTGGAAAATCCTGTTTACCCCAGATCACTTCCCTGGGAGCACAGAAAGGAAAACCAAGGGAGTGTGAAGGGGCTTTGGGCAGCCCTTCCCACAGGAAGGACAGCAAATCATGGTCTGCAGGGAGAAAGAAATGGGGGAAAAGGGGCAAGAGAGAGAAAGGGGAAAAATGGGGCAAGAGAATGGGAGAAGAGAGGAGAAGAGAGGAGAAGAGAGGAGAAGAGAGGAGAAGAGAGGAGAAGAGAGGAGAAGAGAGGAGAAGAGAGGAGAAGAGAGGAGAAGAGAGGAGAAGAGAGGAGAAGAGAGGAGAAGAGAGGAGAAGAGAGGAGAAGAGAGGAGAAGAGAGGAGAAAAAAAGAGAAAAAAAGAGAAGAGAAAAAAAGGGGGAAGGAGGTAACAAAAAAGGAGGGGAAGAAGGAAACAAAAAGGGGAGGAAAAAGAAAATGGAGGGAAAGAGAAAAAAGGCAGGAAAAACAAAGTGGAAGGGAAAAGGGCAAGTTCTGAGTTATTTTTGGGAGGAAAAAAAGAAAGTGGACGGAAAGAGGAAAAGGGGAAGTTCTGAGTTATTTTTGAGTTGCAAGACACATGGAATTAATACAAAAATTAATAAATACATAACTGTAACTAGATCAAGAGCCCAAGTAGCCAGTGTTTAACTGTTCTAACATAAAAGTGAATGTAAAAAACCTAAGCCAAAATAAACTGGCAAGTAAATGCACCTGTGCTAACAGAGCCTGGAGCCAGCCCTTTCCACCACTCCCCTGCACACAACAATTAGCCTTCAGCAGGGACTGTTTCCTGGAGCTCAGGTGCCAGCACAGGTCTGTCCCTCAGTGTTGACACTGAACACCTGCTGTTTAACACAACCAACGTCCCTGAAGGCTTCTCCCTGCAGAGCAGTGACAAAAACAGCTGCAGGTAATAATTCAGTATCAATGAATTCATTGAACTCACCAGAGCCCACTGTCCATGTCATAGATCCAGAGCTCATCGCTGGGCAGATAAACTTCATTTTCTTCAATGGACTGCAAGGGGAACATGAAAATGCTCAATCAGTTCTGCTTTTTGTGTGTGCACATGAAATGCCAAGCCATGTTACTCAGCAACACGGAATGATCTCAAGGAACTCAAAGTCACGCTCCAGTGTTACTGCTCTGATCAGAAAATTAATTTATTTTAAAAATAAACAACTCACTCCTCCTCAGGACTGCTCAAAAAAGGCACAGATCGACCAAATTCATTTTGCTAAGAAAAGATGTGCAACAACATCAACCAGATTTGAAGCTCCTGAATTAAAACTCATTTAGATACTTTTTATCAGGAGCTGTTTCCATGGGCATAGTGGAAAAATAAAAAACAGAATATAAAAACGGACTAAAAACACAGAAGTTACTTGAAGCAGTAACTTGAAAGACCAAGGTGTCAAACATAAAGGAGAAAATTAATTCTTCTGTGGGAAAAAAAAAGATTTATGAAGAGTCCTGAACAGAGGTCATTAAGAAAGATAAATAATTTAGGAAATAATGATGAGGAAAAACAACAAACAGGAGAGGAAGCCCAAAAAAATGCAGTACTCATGGTGAGTAACAACTACAGCATTAATTACTGCCTTGGCACTAGGAAGAAATTAAAGCCTGGCAGTGAGTAAGCAGGCAGAGTCAGTAAACAAATAAAAACTGCCTCAAAATTAAACGAATGTGAGGCAGTTAAATACAAAACTGAAATTTAATTAGTGACAATCCAGTTACTGACGACTTGCCTTCAAATGATGTTTTGTTATGAATTTCTCACTCTGAGAGGTGCCAAGCACCTGGTTTTTTTGGTAATTTATTTTATTTGGTAAATTTTTGGTAATTTATTCTGCCAGGCACCTCTGCTCTGCTGTTACACAGCTCTGGCAGCGTCTGCAAGGAGCACAAGTTGACTCAATTTAATCTGGAGATGCCAGAGGTCGAGCACCTGCTCCAGAACCAGCTCTGAGCAAACACACTGATGCCAAAAATAAAGTTTGCTGGGCAGGAGTCCAGCAGCAACACGTGAAAAATGATTTATCTGTGTAAAGGGCTGCTCACAGAGCAACAACTTTCGTAATATTTTAGCAGATAAATACGTAGTACTACCAAGAACACTTGCAAAGTTTATCTGCTAAACTTCACATACACTGTTTTGAATGTACCACGAACCCACAATTTTTTATTAGAAAACCTTTGAAAACATTGTGATCATTAGTTCAACCTCAGTTTTAAAGACCAGAGCATAAAAACTACTGAAGATTACCAGTGCTTTAGGAGATATTTACTTCTACAGAGTATTATGGAGTTTAAATCCAGGAGTTTCCCACTAGATTTCTTTGCTTAAGTACGAAGGACAAACTTTAAACACTTTAAAGTTACCTTAGACCATGAAAAAATATATATAGAATATGAAATATCTTTATAGAAGTAATAGTTTCCACCTGATTAAGGAATTACACCAAGCACAGGCATTTTCAATTTTATGGCCAATGTGCACAGGCAGACAAGATGAACAGATAAATATCAACAGAAAAATAACAGGTAAAACTAAGTGGGTGTATTAAATGTAGTATTATTCTTATCTCCCTTTTGGGTTGAATTCACAGAGTTAAAAGACACAGGGACTTACTTATGACAGAACCAAAAGTATTCTTTTTATGGAGGAAAAAAAAATTAAATTATGGGTGGGCTTCAGCCTGCTTGTTTTTGAGGCGACAGGAGGAAAACGCGCTGTAAGCACCACACAACTCCTAATAAATAAAAAAACACGTGGACTCAGCAGCGAGGACACCCTGGAAATTACACCCTGGAAGAACTGAGCCACAAATTACAGCGTCGGGGCTCGAAGGGAGACGCGCTCTGCGCGCTGAGGAGCGGAGCAAGGGAGCGAACCGGCTCCGCCAGCCCTTCCCCACACGTGCTGCGCGACGGAGCGGCGGCGAGCGGGCCAGGAGGAGGGCGCTGATCGCGCAGGGAAAGGCTGGCGGGACGAGGCGGTGGGAGCGGCCCCGCCGTCCCCTCAGCGCCGTCCCCTCAGCGCCATGCCCTCAGCGCCGTCCCCTCAGCGCCTCCCGCCGCCATTCGAACGGCGCGCGGCCGCCGCAGCCAATCAGCGCCCGCGCCACAGCCCCGCGCGCCCGCCGAGGGCTGAGGGCCGGCGGGGGGACCCCCCCCCTGCCCCGCCCGGGGCTCCGCTCCCCGCGCCCGGAACCCCGCTCCCGCCGCTCCTTCCCGGCTCCCCCGCCCGCCTTACCACGTATCCGCCCCACACGTAGAGAAAGTTGCCGTCCACCACGGCGCAGTGGCCGCTGCGCTCCTCGGCCACGCAGAACTGATCCGCGGGGTCCGCCGCCATCTTGGGGGGGAGGAAGAGGAGGAGGAGGAGGGAGGAGGAGGAAGCGGCTCGGCCGCCTCAGGGCTCGCGTCCCGCCACCGCCTCCTCCGGGTGAAGCTGCGGCTCCGCCGCCGGTCGCTCCCCTGGGGCGGACGGGAAGCGAGGAGGGTCCAAAGTGTGGGGCGGCACCCGGCGCGCGTCGGGATGGGAGCGGACGGACGGAGAGCCCCGCGCTGCCCCCGGTGCCGGGCAGCAGTGCCGGGCTGAGGTGTGAGGCGGAATAAACCGTGCGGGAGGATGTGAATAATGCGGGAGGATGTGAATAATGGGCGCGAGAGGAGGAAAGAAGCACCGAGAATAGGAGAGCTAAACGCAAACCACAGGGCAAGAAGGGAGGGAGGAGCTGGGTCCCGAAGCGGGACGGGGTTTAAGGCTCCGGGCAAGGACAAGGAGTGATGGACAGGGGGAATGGCTTCAAACTGCCAGAGGGCAGGGATGGATGGGATATTGGGAAGGAATTCCTCCCTGTGAGGGTGGGGAGGCCCTGGAATGGAATTCCCAGAGCAGCTGGGATCCCTGGCAGTGCCCAAGGCCAGGTTGGACTTTGGGGCTTGGAGCAGCCTGGGACAGTGCAAGGTGTCCCTGCCATGGCAGCGTGGAATGAAATCGGCTTTAATGTCCCTTCCAGCCCAAACCATTCCATGATCCTGTGGATTCTGTGATAAGACAAGCACAGCAGAGCTCCCTGTGTCTCTGAAGGTGAGACAAGCCACGCTCCTGCCAGAAGCAGCAGCTATGAAATAGTAGCGGATGTTAATTAAACAGTTGGACAGTTCCAGTTCTTACTCTGTTTTATCAACAACTGAGTCAGTTCCTGCTGAACTCTGTGTCCAGCTGGAATTAATGGAATTCAAAATAAAACAGGTACAGCTCTTCAGAAATAGTAGAGTAGAACTTGGGAGAAATGTGCACTTTAGCATCTTATAAAACAGCACCAGAAAGTAACTGTCAAGATTTCCTTGTGACAGTAGGACATGCACATCCACTGCTGGATTTAGGAGGGAAGATGTTAATTATTCACATTGATAAACTGGTAATATTAATCACGGACTCTCCTGAATTGGAAGAGACCCACAGGGATCAGCCAGGGCAGCTCCTGGCCCTGCCCAGACCCCCAACAATCCCAGCCTGGCATCCCTGGCAGCTCCTGGAGCTCTGGCAGCCTCGGGGCTGTGCCCATTCCTGGGGAGCCTGGGCAGTGCCAGCACCCTCTGGGGGAAGAGCCTTTCCCTGAGATCCAACCCAAAGCTCCCCTGGCACAGCTCCAGGTATTCTCTCAGTGGTGACACAGAGATCAGGACCTGTCCTGAACTCCTCAAATGAGGCAAGGTACTGATGGTGCATTGGGATGGTGGTTAAAATGCAGGAGTCAGCATTTGGAAGATGTAAAAAAGCCATGAGAAGCAGACAAACTCTGTCCATGGATCTCTAGGTCAGGCAGAGCTGCAATGTGCTGTCTCAGGAGATGGGATTTTGCCAGTGGAGCAGTGACAGACATGGAAATGAGCTGTTTGTCAGTGTAACAAAACAACTCCATGGATCCAGGTAGATCCATGCTGGCTGATCCTGGAGCACTGGGCTCTCTCCAGTCACTCTCCAGCTGCTGTGATCTCCAGCAAAGCCACGGGAGCTGACAAAGATCTGGGCACGGCTTGCAGAGCTGCAGATGGCTCAGTGGAACACAAGGCTGCAGCTCACACTGGAATACTTTTATATCTCTGGTGGGAGGCTCCAGGCAAGCTAAGAGAGCCCCCAAATCCAGCAGGATGCTGTAGGAGTGTGCTTTACATTCCCTGGTTGGTCATAGCTTTAGAGAAAACTATTTTTGGATGAGGAACACATCCCTTCTCCAGGTGCACCTTCCTTCATGTGGCGAGACAGGAGCTGAATGGCAGCATCAGGTTTTCTTAGAAGGAGAATAAGCAGTAATTTTAGCAAATGAAGGTACTTATGTAAGAATTTGGCTTATAATTTGCACCTAGCTGCATTCCTGTGACAAAAAAATGAATCATATTTCCTGCCAAAATAGCTGAGACCTGTCAGATGGCAGCTCTTTGTCTGAAGAGAGTAGCAGCAGCTTCACCCATGAGCTCACTCCCCGATGAGGAGCAATTATAAATTATGCAGTTGAGAATGGGCTATGGAAAATAGCTGACATTTTCTGTCTGTCTTTAAATCCCCGCAGTCTTTCGATCAAACTCTTTCAAGAGTCGCTTTGTGAGCCTTCTGTGGAATCAAGCTGTACTTTGAGAGATGGGGATGAGTGTTTGAATGAAATATCAGGTGTGTTTTCCATCTGGAGAGAAGGCAGCTACTCCACAATCCTGGAACTGTGGCTGTCCCTGGATCCCTGAAAGTGTCCAAGGCCAGGTTGGATGAGGCTTTGAGCAAGCTGGGACAGTGGAAAATGCTCCTGTCCATGGCAGGGGGTGGGATGAGATGAGTTTTAAGGTCTCTTCTCATCCAAACCATTCTGGGATGCTGTGATTATATAAACACAGCCCTGGAGAGCATCCTGTGCTCACAGGACCAATTCACAGTCAGATGTGTTTGATGGATGTTTTGTGGCAAGAAAATCTGACGTGGGACAGACTCTGGAGTACTGGAGATGCAGAGGAGCCTGTGCTGAGCCTACAGGGAAGAGCAGGGAGAAATATTGTGAGCTACAATACCTGTAAAGGAACAAAGTGATACCGTGGATAATTGTATTGGGTAGCTTGTGCCAGTCACAGCAAGTGTTTTATGGAATCAGGGAACTGTTTAGGGAGGAAAAGCCCTCTATGAAGGTGGAGTCTGCCATGGCCCCATGTCCCCACATGCCACATCCACACGGTGTTTAAATCTTTCCAAGGATGGGAACTCCACCACTGCCCTGGAAGCCTGTGCCAGGCCTGACCCCCCTTTCCATGGGGAAATTCCTGCTGTGCCCACCCTGAGCTGCCCTGGCCCAGCCTGAGGCCGTTCCCTCTGCTCCTGTCCCTGTTCCCTGGAGCAGAGCCCGACCCCCCGGCTGTCCCCTCCTGGCAGGAGCTGTGCAGAGCCACAAGGGCCCCCTGAGCCTCCTTTTCTCCAGGCTGAGCCCCCTCCCAGCTCCCTCAGCCTCTCCTGGGGCTCCAGCCCCTTCCCAGCTCCGTTCCCTTCTCCAGCCCCTCCATGTCTCTTATCACGAGGGGCCCGGAGCTGCCCTCAGGCCTGGCGGTGCCCACCGGTGCCAGCTCAGGGGACAATCCCTGCCCCGCGCCCGGCACCGGCGCTGTCCCCACCCGGGCCGAGCGGGGCCGTGCCGGGCTCCTCCCGCGCGGGGCCGGCCCGGCCTGAGGGGGCGGCCCGGCCGCGTTTGGCGCCATGGCCGCCATGGAGCCCGAGCGGCTGCGGCGCCGCCTCGGCTCCGCGTTCCGGCTGCGGGGGCTCGTCCTGCGCCCGTGAGTAGCGCCGGGCCCGACCCTGCTCCGGTCCCGGACCCTGCTCCGGACCCGCGGGGATCGGCCCCGGGCGGGCCTCGGGGCCGGGGAGCGCCGGTGCGGGATGGGGCCGGGGCCGCTCCGCGTCCCCCGGGGCGCCTCCTCGGGATGCGGGGCTGCCTTTCCCACCTCCTCCTCCTTCCCCCGCATCGAGGCCTCTGGAGGCTCCTCCAAAGCCATCTTTCGCCTGTCCGGCTGCTGCGGGCCCCTTCCTTCCATCCATCCGTCCATCCGTCCCTCTGATGACCCTGGCTGCCGCCAGAAGCTGCCCGTGGTCTCCCCTCAGAGCCCTCCCTGATGCTGGTGCCGGCTGTTCGCTTGAGTTTTTTGTCTGCCTCTGACCCTGACAGCTCTGGGGTCTGAGTTCCACTTGCCACTCTTGTGCTCAGCATTCTTTGCTAGAGGAAGGAATGGCATTTCCAAAGACAGGAATGGTATATTTTCAATATAATAGTGTTATTTAGAGATGCCAAGGTCAATGAAAAGGGATTCCTGCTTGCAGTGGAAGGTGTCATGATTTAAAAGAGACTCCCATCACTCTTATTTTCCCTTTCTTTCTAGTGTGTGTTAATATCAATTAAATTCTGTTGTCGTTGGGATGTGATTATTTAGACAGTGCCCTGATACTTTCATTAGAGAGGAGCACAAGTCCAGAACTCCTGACCCCACAGTTCCATGAGCTGAGACACTTTGAAGGTCAGGCTGATCACCAAAATGCCAGTTGGATTGGCCAGGTGGTGACATTAATAAGAAAATTTTTATCTTTAATGTGAGACCCTTGTGTCAGGTTGAGGGGAAAACTGGATTTCTAAATCTTATGTTATTGAGAATTAAAATAACTTCTATTTCAAATATATTGCTGAACTGGAGCAGGTCCTGTGGGGGCTGCAGAGGTGCTCCTGGGCTGGAGGCCGTGGGGGAAGCAGGAGGAGCTGGAAGCTCTCTCTGGTGACATCCCAGCTTCAGGGCTGCACCCGGATTTGGAGTCCAAAATGAGGGATGTGGAGCTGCTGGAATGAGTCCAGAGAGGCCATGGAGCTGCTCCCAGGGCTGGGACCCCTCTGCTCTGGAGCCAGGCTGGGAGAGCTGGGAATGTTCCCCTGGAGAGGAGAAGGCTCCAGGGAGAGCTCAGAGCCCCTGGCAGGGCCTGGAGGGGCTCCAGGAGAGCTGGAGAGGGACTGGGGACAAGGATGGAGGGACAGGACACAGGGAATGGCTCCCACTGGCAGAGGGCAGGGATGGGTGGGAGATTGGGAACTGGGAATTGCTGGCTGGGCTGGAATTGCCAGAGCAGCTGTGGCTGCCCCTGGATCCCTGGCAGTGCCCAAGGCCAGGTTGGACACTGGGGCTGGAGCAGCCTGGGACAGTGGGAGGTGTCCCTGCCATGGCAGGGAGATGGAATGGGATGGGATTTAAGGTCCCTTCCAACCCAAACCATTCTGGAATTCCATGAATTGAGGGTCAGAGAACCTGGCATGGGGAGGATGTGAAGGATTTGGGTTGATTTAGCCTCAGGAAGGGAAGATTCATGATGAGCTAATCCCACTCTTCCTAAAAGTGAGAAGTGTTCTCAAGGATGCACAGTGACGTGCCAAGAGACATTTCATTCTTCATTGTAATTGTAATTAAACCTTGAAGTTGATGGAGTAGAGAAGTGCTGGAATCTCCCTCAGTGGAAGTTCTCAGGGCTCCACGGGGGCCCTGCACAGCATAACCCAAGCCCTGCTTCCAGGAGAAGGTTGGACCACAGGGTCTCCAGAATTCCCTTCAGCCTTGGAATTTTTTGTGTGAAGCTGAGGTTCTCCACATCTTTTCCCTGATATTTTCGATCCCAATGATTTTTTTCTTTGACTTATACCAACGTGCTATTATGCAGAACTAATCATTTCTGCCTTTTTAACCACTAGCTATGTGGTGGTGATGTGCACACCTGCCAAAATCAGCTCAGTTTGTGTCAACAATTGAACATTAATTGCTTTTTGTGCTTTCTCCTCTGGGATTAGGGATGCCCTGAAGTATCTCACTGAAGCTTTCCAGTCCACCAGTGAGGGGGAACTTGACGATATAATTGAAAATGTCATCGATGCCGTTGAAAAACAGCCTTGTAAGTAAACCATTTCTTTTTCTTGAGCCAGTTTTCCTGGCATTTCTGATGTCATCAAGACAAAGACAGTGACTGGCAGCAGAGGCACTGAGGTGTCACTGTAGTGTGAAGGGTTGATTGAGATAAATGTATTTTTTGGCCCTTTATTTTGGTTAAACACTGAGGTTTGCAATGTCAGCAGAAGACATTTGTGCCATTTAAAGAGTTGGCAGTGCAGAATATCCTGACTTTTCCAGGAGTAGTAACATTATTCAGTGACAGTTACTAAAAGTTTGTCTGGACATCTTTGTACCTGAAACTGTCATTTTAAATACTAAAGTGGAGAGAGTCTATTTACAGGACACAGGGAATGGCTTCCCATTGCCAGAGGGCAGGGATGGATGGAATATTTTGAAAGAATATTTTGAAGGAATATTTTGATAGAATATCTACCTGTGAGGGTGGAGAGGTCTTCAAACTAATTTCAATTATCAGTTTAAATCCATGAAAACAACTATGTGCCATCTCCAGAATTGTGTTGGAATACTTAAGGCAGCAATCCTTGTGATAATGTTCTGGAACCAAATTAACCTCCAGAATGTGAGAGCTCAGCTCTTAACACATTTGTGATATATTTGGCAGCTTTGCATAAACTATAATTGTCTTGTTCTCCATGTTTGGGGAATTCAGGGTGGGCACAGAGTATTTTTCCCTAGGAATGTGTCCTTTTGGTGGCAATATTAAGTGATCCATCTGAGTGTCATTGCAGAAAACGTGAGGAGACTCAGCCATTTAATGTGAAATATTGGAGACTCACTTCCTTCCTTGCTGCAGGTTTAATCCTTGGGATTTTTCTTTCCAGTGTCATCCAACATGATTGAGCAGCCCCTGGTGGAAGCAGCTGTCCAGGAATGCAGCCGGGCTCCGGATGAGGCCATGTAGGGTGACATTAAAAATGTTATGGGGACTTCTGGGAGCTGCTGGCATTTCCTTGTTCCTCCTGGGGAAATGAATGCCAGGCATTGTCTGCAGTCATTGCTCTGTGCTTTTGCCTTCCTGCTGCTGCCTTTGCTCCAGTGATGCCTCAGGTTTAGCTTTTATATTTTCAGGTTCTGAGCTGCTTTAGTGTGTGGGGCTGGGCTCCATATTATGGGATGGTGAGCTCTGTGCACAGAGAGGGAGACAAAACAATTCCTGCTCCAGCTGGGCACCAAGGACAAATGATCCAAATCTCAGCCCAGGAGCACAAACCCCGTGGGCTGCAGAGAGAAAAACAAGCAGGATGGGAGTGCAGGGGCTGAGCTGGAATTGGACACTGAACTGCAATGTGCACATGGAGCAGAGCTGATCCCAGGGAGAGACCCCGGGAGCGCTCGTGCATTTTGGGACCATTTGGGTTCATCTTGGCTGCAGCCCTGGCTGGGCTCTGGTGCTGCCCAAGGTGGATCCATGGAGGAGATCCTTGGAATCAATCCCTGCTTTGTTCTGGAACTCCATCCAGCCTCTGCTCTAGGGCAGCTTCTCAAGGCATCACCAGGTTGCTCCTTGGAGCTTTTATTCTCATGGCTGGGCCTCCAGGGGGCCCTGAATAGAATCTGGAATTCTGGAATTCAGCTGCTGGGGTTGTGTGCTGGGTGTGCTGCAGGTGGAATATTAACCAGCACTTCTGGCCATGCTTTGTTTGCTTTGCTCTAGATGAAAGTTATCTCAAGTTACTTTTGTTCCTTTCTTTTTTGAAAGCACTTTGGAAAAGTTTTCCTCTGGGGTGCCTGCTCCTGCTTTTTTGTTTAGTTTTTTGAAGCCCTGATTGATTTCCCTTCTGTAATAACAAAGTGTGGAGCAATTACTGGAGTTTCTGAGGACTTTGTGATCCTGATGGATGTGTTTCCTTTCGTGTTCCCATCGTGATGCAAAGCATGAAAAGAGATGGTTTGCTGGGCATGTCAATTAGATCCTGTCATCCCCCAGCCTCTCAGGATGGAGAAAATTTGGGTTTAACTTTCCTCCTTGCTGTTGGAATGTTTATGATGCAGATGGTGTGAGTGTGACTTTTCTTTGTGGTGCTTTTTTATACTTAATGTAGGGTTTTTTTGCTCCAGAAGTGAAGAGAAATCCATATGTACAGATTCTCAGTGCAGAGTCATGAAGGGAAAAGCTCTACAGATCACAGAGACAAGTCTTTTTCATTATTTAACTCAAAGATGCAGGAGAAAATAGACTAGAAATAGGATATAAAATAAGAGAAGTGGTGATGATAGTGAACAAAACAAATGTCATTTTAGCCAACATATTTATCAGTTTGTTTCATCCACTTCATGGAATCACAGAATGGTTTTGGTTGGGAGCTAACATTCAGTTAATGCTGTCACTGTTCTTATTTCAGAGAAAATGTTTTCAACATTATTGGAGCCTTTGACATTCCACGTTATATTTATAATTCAGAAAGAAAGAAGTTTCTGCCGTAAGTCTCCCATATTTTAAGTTTCAAGCACTCCCTGTTTTAAGAACAAAGCCTCTATTTCTATAGCCTAAGTCTGGTTTTAATCTTTCTCTCTTGGCTCTGTTCAACTGAAGCCTGAGTGAGAAAAGTAATAAATGTTTAAGACATAAACCAAGTTTATTCCACCTAATGAATAAAAAAGACAGTGAGGCTAAGGGCATACATCACTAAAGGTAGTTTGGGGTTATTTTTTTTTCTCACATTGGGCTGTTTAAATTTATTTTTTTAATAAATTTGATCTGTCTGCTGCCTGTATTTATTTCTTAGTCTGTATCTTGCAGCTCCCTGAAGCCCTGGGGGGTTTCTAAGGAGAGCTCCAAACAGTAAAAAAGAAAAATTAGGAGCAGCTGGTAAGAAACTGGAGGAATAATGCTTTTGTTCACAACTGCTTAAAGGCTGCTTTTTTTAAAATGGATTTCTGCAGAGGTCTCTTTGGGTGGAGGGATAAATCTCAAGGCCTGTGAGTTAGAGGGGAATGAAGTGGGTGCAGAAATGCAGAGACACAGGATCCTGAGCAGGAATTTACCTAAATCATAGTGCAGCTTCTGCAGCCTCCCAGACCTTTTAGACCAAGAAATCATCTTTATGTGGGAAATATCCCTTTTTTGACATTCTGACTGTGTTAATTCCTTGCAGCCTGTCCATGACTGACCTGCCCAGGCCCAGTTTATTTGGGACTGCCAGGGACAAGGCGGAGCTGTTCCGGGAGCGCTACTCCATCCTCCAGCAGGTCAGGAGTCCTCAGGGATGGATCCCACTTCTCCTTCCAAAAATACATCATGCTCTGCCTCATAAACCCTCTGCCTTCCAGCTTGTCACAAAAAACTTCTTTTAGCAGCCTTACTAAGATGCTTTCATGACACTTTTTTTAGGCTTAGTTTTATTACCCAGTGCATTTTTTAGGCTTAGTTTTATTACCCGGTGTTATTGATCATCTGTTTCTTGGAAGTAAATTCTTGTCAAAAAGACTGAATTATTAAATGTTGCTGGATGAAGTAGAGTAAGAACTTTCTGAAGTGTTTTGCATAGTGTTTGTAGCAAACTGGCTTTTTGGCAGTGCTCGTTTATTTTTAAACTGAATCACTTCCATTTTGGTTTGTGCAGAGGACTCACAGACATGAGCTGTTCACTCCTTCACCAGTTGATGCTCATCCTGATGATAGCAAGAACAAATTCCAGGTAAAAAAATGGAGTTCTTTCCAGTTTTAATCCAAATAATCACAGCAGTTCTTTGTGCTAGCAGCCACTATTGGGAATCTTCTCCTAAGGCACATTGAGAAATAAGGCTCTGGTGTTGGTAACGAGCCTGTATCCTCTGGCTCGTCTGTGTCTTCATGTACAGCCATGTCCTGTGTGGGGCTTTGCCTTGCCTGGGAGAAAGCAAGCAACAGAGTTTGAGTTTGGAGACTTTGATTTGATTCTGATTGGATTCTTTGCCTTTGATCCCAGCTAAAGACAGTAGAAACTCTCCTGGGCAATCCAGCTAAAGTGGGAGAAGTGATTGTGCTTGGGATGATCACTCAGCTCAAGGAGGTGAGTTCTTTTTTGCTGTGGAGTCTCTGATCACTGCTCATTCAGTGCTGTAATACATTAAAAAATGAGAAAACTTAAATATCTCACACTTACCCATTCTAAGAGACTTTTCCTCAAGCATTCAGTGCCACTGTGTGTGGAAAATGTCTTTCTTTGTCTTCCCACTGTAAAATTTTTATGTCAGCAACCAGAAGCAGTTAGGATTTTTTGGCTTGTCCCTTCTTGAGAGGCTGGAGCTTCCAGTGGCTGAGTTTGGACTTGCCAGTGCCCTGGCCTGTGATTTTAGGGGGAGAGCACCAGCAATCCCAACTGCAGCAGCTCCCAGGGAAGCTGCTGAGATACATTTACTATAAATGACTTTATTTTCAGTTCTTGCCAGATTAAAACATTAAACTCAGCCAAGTAATTTCTTAATGCTGACTGATAAAAGCTTCTGACTGAAGCATTTGTGTGTTTGGTATATTTTGCTTTATTAATGAATCCTGTTTTGTAGGGGAAATTTTTCCTGGAAGACCCCACAGGAGTGGTCCAGCTAGACCTTAGTAAAGCAATATCCTTTTGCTGTGATGGAAGAGCTGGAGGAGTTTCCTGTAGACCTTCAGGATTTGAAATTGATCAGTAAATCAATGCTGACCATTCAGAATTACATACTGAGAGCTGCAGCTCTGTCTTTCTCCTTTGTTTGCAATTCCTTGGCTGCTGCAGCTCCTTCCTTTCCCTTGGACACAGTCACTTTCCCTCCCCATGGAAGCAGAGCCTGTTCCATTTCCTGGGCTCTCTCTGGACTTACCTGCTCATGTACCAGGGAATTTCCAGGCTCTTCAGGTAGCCTGTGAACTTTCAGTGCTGTCCAAATCTGTTACACCAGCTGGAAAGCAAATTTTGCTTCAAAAACCTGCTTTAAATCTAAAAAAAAATACATTCCTTAACCTTCCTGCACCAGTTCCACAGTGGGTTATACACTGAATCCTCCTTTGTTCTGGCAGAAGGTAAAGCAGACTGGGTTTATTTTTTTAGCTTGTAATAAATTATTCTGTTCAAGCTGTGGCTGCCAGATGTGGCTGAGCAGAGAAGTCTCATTTTGGTGACCATCAGTGAGTTTGGGACTGAGATTTTTGGCCTTCAGCTTTTGCTGTGACTCTGGAGGCAGAGAGGAGGAATTTGGGGATGTTGGGACATGTGAGGCTCTGGAGCAGCTTTGAGGATTGGCCCCAGCATGCTTGGAGAAGTTATGACTGGATTAGGAAGACAGCCTGGAATAACCAGAGGAATGATTTAATGATCTGAAAATGCTGCTCTGTGCTGGCAAAGCTTTGGTCCTTTAATGAGGCTTCTCATTAGGATGATGTAAGAGCTTGCAGTTTTGGAGCCTTGTTTTAGCAAAAAAAAAAAAGGCAAAAAAAGCTATTTCTGTATGTGGAATGTTCCTCTGTGCAAGATCCATGATCTCAGTCTGTTTTCTGGTGTGTCTTATGCTTGTAAGAAGAATTTTGGAGCAGAAGTGAGAGTGAGGATAAATAAATAAATCACCAAGATCCTTCTGTTCTCAGCAGGGGGATTTGAGACAAGGATGGGAACCCTTCCAGGACAGGGCCAGCAAAATCATGCAGTCCTCCTGGTGTGCTCGAGGGGCTTGTCCATGTGGCTGTGCAGCAGATCCACTCACAGCAGTGGCTGGGGTTCAGAACAAAGTTGATTTCCTTCTCAGCCCTTTTTCCACCCGGATCATTGCTGCTCTGGTTCTGTGGAGCTGCCACAGGAGAGGGATTGATGGAGGCTGGGACTGGCAGTGCAGCACGGCTGCCAACTCTGACTAATGTCTAGGACATGATGCTGTTAGAAAAACCGAAGGGTTATTTTGCTGTTTTGCTCTTCCAAAACCTCCTAGGTTGGTATGAAGATGAAGTTTTTCATGTGAACGCTTTTGGATTTCCGCCCTCTGAGCCTTCTGCCACCACGAGGTACAAAAGTGGCTTTTGGCAGCCTCACTCCCTGTTTTCCTAGGGGTTTCTAAGTAAGATCATTGTTATTTTGTAATTTCTCTGACATTCAGGTGTGTTATTCTTCCTCCTCCCCAAATGCTTTAAAATAAATACCATTTTAAGGAAGCAATTCTGGGACTTAGAGGCACTAAAGCCTGTAGTGTTGGCAGAAAAACCCTTCCAAAGGCCTTTGGGTTCTGCATATTAATGGAAATTGGGATGTAAACCCTTCTCAATGGTAAATGGGAATAATAAATTCCTTGTTGCTGAGAGAATGGATCCCTGGGACAGTGGAAGGTGTCCCTGCCCATGGCAGGGACATAGGGGAATAGGATGAGCTTTGAAGTCCCTTTGAACCCAAGCCATGCTGGGATCCTAACTGGAGCATTTTAATGATGCAGAGCCTTCTATGGGAATATCAACTTCTTTGGAGGGCCTTCCTCATCATCAGTAAAGGCTTCTGCAAAGCTGAAGCAGCTGGAGGAAGAGAATGAAGATGCCATGTTTGTGTTTGTGTCTGATGTGTGGCTGGACCAAGCAGAGGTGCTGGAAAAGCTTCACATGATGTTTTCAGGTAGGTGAGAATTGCTTTCACTCTCAACCTTGTTTGCATGATTTGTTTCCGTAAATTCTTGGTACAAATGGTGGTTTGACCTGTAGCCATTTTCTGGGCTGTGGTAGGAATGTTTCCCTTGCTCCTAGAAGCTCTTCCTGGGCTTAGCTTGAAGACTAATTCCTTAGTTCAGAGAGATGAATGCTGCCAGATGGGATATTGGGAATTGGGAATTGCTGGCTGGGCTGGAATTGCCAGAGCAGCTGTGGCTGCCCCTGGATCCCTGGCAGTGCCCAAGGCCGGGCTGGAGGGTTTGTCCCAGGGTTTGGAGCACCCTGGGACAATGGAAGTGTCCCTGCCATGGCAGGGGTGGAATGGGATGGTCTTTAAGGTCCAGCCCAACTCATTCCAGGATTCTGGGATCAGTAATGGGGACAGCACTGGGAAAAACAAGCATTTATGAATTGCTCCTTTGTATTGCAGCAGTTTGGGAACAGCTTGTCCCTCCTGCCTCGGGCAGAATGGGAGTGTGAGAGAGTGACTGCTTTAAAAACAGCCCAGAATTCAGGGTGGGAAGCTGCTCCTCACCAAAAGGGAGCTGGACACAAATGAGCAGAGTCGTGCAGAAGTTAAAAAGCCAGTTCAGTGTCTGGGTCAGAGCTGGCCAATCCTCTGGGCAAGCTGGGCTTGACGCAGGGTTGCAGGTGCTGAGGGCAGAAAGGGACTTTGGTCAGTGAGGTTTGTGTGCTGAGCTCACCTGGCAGAGATGCACACCTTGCATTTGCTATTTTGAGACTTCACCAGGCAAGTGATAACCTTCTTAATTACAAACCAAACGAGCAGCTGTGGGGGAGAACAAGGAAAAATATTGATGAGCCCTTTCTCTGGGATCAGCAATTCTGTTCCATTTACCAGCCCCTTTGAAAACCAGTGAAGTAAATCCAAGTGTGATTCTGTCTGTCAGGAAAATGGAGAGTAACTGGGATGTGAGATGAATGCCTGAGTAGCTGTTTCTATTTTTATTTCAGGGATGGGAATCAGGTTTCTTTTTTCCCCTGCTTTGCTTTGAAGCAGTTAATGGGTGAGGTTGTGAGCACTCATCAGATCCTCAAACTGCTCAGGCAGTTCCAGTTACTGTTGCTTTATAATGCCAAAGGGGGAATTGGATGTTGGGAGAGCCCTTAAATTGGAATGATCAGGGAGGTTAATAGCAACCCAGTGCTGCCTGCTTGCTGTTTTCCTCTTGAAGGCAATAATACATTTAAAAATGGCATTATTTTTTATAATTGCACTTGGTATAATTCTGTGACTGGGCCAGGAGGTGGATACACACAAACCCTGCTGGGACTCAGCCTGTAAATGCCAGGGGGCTCCCTCAAAGTGACATTTGTACATTGCCATCCCCTTTTTGAGCTAAAAACAGCCTGGATTGAGAAAATCAGTCAGGTGTATTAATAGCAGCAGGGCTTGAAGTGCTGTTTCAGTTCCTGCTTTTCCTGGAATGGGCTGAGTGCTGGAAGGTGCTGGAGTGGATGGATACACTCACAGATCCTCTCTTTTCCCAGGTTATTCCTCTGCACCTCCCACCTGCTTTTTCTTCTGTGGAAATTTCTCATCTGCACCATATGGCAAAAATCAAATCCAGTCCCTGAAAGGTAGGGAGGTCTTTGTAAACAGCCAGACATGTGCACTGAACTAAAATAATGATGGCAAACAAATGAAGAGAGCAGAAAATAAACCCTTTAAAAAAAAACAGAGGGGGGATTCACCCAAGGTGTGTTTATTTCTAACCAGGTGTTGTGTCCTGTTTTTCCCTGACTCCAGGTTCTTTGAAGGCTCTGGCAGATATTATATGTGAATATCCCAGCATCCATAAAAGGTACAGAGCAAGGGGAAATCTGTTTATTTTGTGAAGCCTTTAATGACCTGAAGGAGCTGAGAGTTGCCCTGTTTTCTCTGTCCTGTGAGCCAGCTGTGATCAGATAAAAAGCTGGTTTTGTAAGAGGCCTGCAGGTTTGTTTGGGAGCAGGGTGAGTTTGATTGTATCTCAAATAGCTTGGGCATGGAAACTGCTAATGAGGGAGCCAAGGTCCCTCCCTGGGATACTTTCCTGGCTCCTGCTCTCTCAATTCAGAACATCAGACCCAGTTTTTAGGATCAGTTTATGCAAAAGAGATTTGTTAAAATGCATTTTTTTAAAATTTTTTTTTAATATTTTTTGCAGTAGTCGATTTGTGTTTGTCCCTGGTCCTGAAGATCCTGGGCCTGGTTCTATTTTACCAAGGTCAGTTTGCTTCACTCCCTCACATCTTGGAATTTTGAGTGAAATTTGAGTTAAAGATGGTTAAAGAGTCTTTGTTGATACCTCTGCTATTTATTTTAGACCCCCCCTGGCTGAAAATATCACTCAGGAATTCAGACAGCTGGTGCCATTTTCAGTTTTCACCACAAATCCCTGCAGGTAACCATGTAACTGCTAATTTTTAAATAATTTTTTTTAAAATAACTAAATTATTTGCAAATATAATGTTCAAAACCTAGCAGATTTTGAGGAAAATTTGCCTTAAGTTTTTCAAATTAATAGAATTCTTCACTTTCATGAATTGTAATCAGTTTTAAATACAGTAAGACATAAAAAAATAAGTGAAGGAAGGAAGTAGTGCTAAAAATATTGATACTGAATATAAAAATCCTGCTCAAAAGCATCATAAGGGAAAGTATTATTTTCATTCAATTGTCTGTATTAGAGGGAGATCAACTTTCTAATGCATCTTCCTCATCTTTAGGTTAACCTTAATTAATTTCACTGCTGTTTTCTGCTCAGGGTTCAATATTGCACCCAAGAAATCATTATTTTTCGGGAAGATTTGGTCAACAAAATGTGCAGGAACTGTGTCCGCTTCCCAAGCAGCACCATGGACATTCCCAACCATGTGAGTGAGTGGAGTTCAGCACTTCTTGCCAAGATTTTTGATTTTATTGATCAGCAGGGCTGGATTTTGGGGGCTCTGATCCTTGTTCTTGTGCCACATTGCATGAGTAACCCAGAGGGGTTGTAAGAAGGATTTATACATTTAGTATTCTTATTTTTCTTTACATTTTGACAGCAAAATAACTCAAACCATGATAGTTTAAGGTGGGATTGAGTCATTGTCACACTGGAGCTGCCCTTGAACACAGAACTTCAGAGCAGAACCAACCATCAATGTCCTGCCAAGAAACACTTGATTCCTAAAGGCAAATTTTAATGCAAATTACCATTTTTTAAATATTTGGTCGCTTACCCAGTGCCATTTGCAGTAAAGCAGCAGGTCACTCCCTCTAAAATTCATCTGCTTGTTTTGTCTCCTCACTTGAAATGGAAATTGTGCTCCTCACACATCAGCAGTGTGCTCTGGGTTTGGTTCCACTTCATGAGTGCACAGCAGGAGCTGATGGGATTTACTGAAATAACTGCATGGGAACCATCCAGGTAGTCCTGGCTCACTGCAGTGGTGGATGGAGCCTGGTTTTATTTATTTTACAGGAGTTTTTGTGTTTGTTTGCCTCAGAAAGTTGTTTTTGCTCAGTGTCTCTGTGAACACCCTGTGGACACTGAGGTTCCTTGGTTTTGTGGGCACATTTGCATTCCTGACACTTCCCTGTCCTCATCCTGGGCCTTCCAGGAAGGAAATATAGAATTGCAGCACTTTCTGCAGCTTGTTTTTTGCATACTCCACTTTGCCTTTTTTGCCTATTTTACTTCAGCCATCAGTGTAAAAAAAAAAAAAAAAGAGAGAGGGAAATTTTGTCACAAAGAAAGGAAAATCATCTGGGAATCAAATTATTTCTTCAGTTTAGGGAAAGGACTTTTTGAGTGTGGGTCTTGTGGTTAACTGGAAAGCAATAAGGAAAATAAAAACCAAAAAATGAGGGTTGTGGCAGTGCTGGTGCTTTCTGGGCTGGAGGAGCAGGTAAGTAGGTTCTCCTCTAGAGTCTGATTGATAATTGTGACATCTTCAAATCCTGGCCCTTAAAAAGGCCTTTGTATTAAAACCCCCACAAGTGAAGAAAGGAAAGAGCTGGAGGAGAGTCACTGCTTTACTCTAGAAATCATTAATAATCAGCAGGAATGAGATACAAAAAAGCCCCAAACATTTCCAGGTTCAAAAAGCTTCTTTATTAACAGACACTGAGACGTGCAGGGATGAACTGAGCTTGCAGCAAATGTTCAAACCAAGTCTTTGTGGGGTTTTTATCTGCAGTTTGTAAAGACCGTTTTATCTCAGGGGATAAATGCTTCAAATGTTTCAAACCAAGTGTTCGTGGTGATGCCTCAGGTTTGGCTTTTCTATTTTCACATTCTGTGCTGCTTTAGTGTGTGGGGCTGGGTTCACATCAGGGCATGGTGAGCTCTGTGCACAGAGCAGGGAGACAAAACAATTCCTGCTCCAGCTGGGCACCAAGGACAAATGATCCAAATCTCAGCCCAGGAGCACAAACCCCGTGGGCTGGAGAGAGAAAAACAAGCAGGATGGGAGTGCAGGGGCTGAGCTGGAATTGGACACTGAACTGCAATGTGCACATGGAGCAGAGCTGATCCCAGGGAGAGACCCCGGGAGCGCTCGTGCATTTTGGGACCATTTGGGTTCATCTTGGCTGCAGCCCTGGCTGGGCTCTTGTGCTGCCCAAGGTGGATCCATGGAGGAGATCCTTGGAATCAATCCCTGCTTTATTCTGGAACTCCATCCAGCCTCTGCTCTGGGGCAGCCTGCACAAGGCGTCAGTGGGGAAGATTTTTTGCAGTTTGTGAAGACCATTTTATCCCAGGGTAATGCTTAAAATCGAATGTTTGTGGGGTTTTTTTGTTGCAGTTTGGGAAGACCATTTTATCCCGGGGTATTGCTTAAAACCAAGTGTTCATGGTTTCTTTTTTTGTTGTTGTTTTTGTTTGTTTGTTTTTTTGGGTTTGTTTGTTTGTTTGTTTTAGTTTGTGAAGACCATTTTATCCCAGGGGTTTCTTTTTTTGTTGTTGTTTTTTTTTGTTTGTTTTTTGGGTTTGTTTGTTTGTTTGTTTGTTTTAGTTTGTGAAGACCATTTTATCCCAGGGGATAAATGCTTCAAATACTTAAAACCAAATGTTTGTGGGGTTTTTTTGTTGCAGTTTGTGGGGACCATTTTATCCCGGGGTACTGCTTAAAAGCAAGTGTTTGTGGGTTCTTTTTGTTGCAGTTTGTGAAGACCATTTTATCCCAGGGATAACGCTTAAAACCAAATGTTTGTGTGTTCTTTTTGTTTTAGTTTGTGAAGACCATTTTATCCCAGGGATAACGCTTAAAACCAAATGTTTGTGTGTTCTTTTTGTTTTAGTTTGTGAAGACCATTTTGTCCCAGGGGCACCTGAGCCCGCTGCCGCTGTACGTCAGCCCCGTGTTCTGGGCCTACGATTGCTCGCTGCGGGTTTATCCCGTGCCAGACCTGCTGGTCACTGCTGACAAACACGACCCCTTCACCGTCACCAGCTCCGAGTGCCTCTGCATCAACCCCGTGAGCAATGCCCCGCACCCCCTCGCTCCCTGCACTGCTGTTTCCTCACACCAACGTGGGTTTTCTCCCCTTTTTCCTTCGCAGGGTTCGTTCCCCAGAAGTGGATTTTGCTTCAAGGTGTTCTACCCTTCCAACAAGACAGTTGAAGACAGGTAAATTGGTTTTTCTTGTGTGCTGAGTTACTGATTGTCAGGATGAAAAGCACAGGAAATTGGTGATATTTGAATGTTCCAGCAGCTTAACTCACATTTCATACTTAGGCAGTGTAACAAATCCAAATGCCCAGAACTAAAGCAATAAATGTAGAAATTACAAATATCAGTGATGGAAAGCACAGTTCAGAGGTAAAAGGAGGGATGATTGCACTGCCTGATTTCCAGTGATAGAGACCTAATTGGGAAGCAGATTTGTTTCTGGGGATGATGGTTGTTACATAAATTAATTAAATTTAGGAAAATAATTTTGCTTCATTTTGTGATAATCATCAAGCCCAGAAGCCACTTCCAGGTTTGATTTCACATGTTTTTAAATCTGCACTTGTGCATTCCACTGACTGGAGAAAAGCCACCTGCAACACCAAAAAAGTATTAAAATCCATCAAAGTGCTTAAAATGGATGAAAATTTACCTGTTTGAAAGAATGATGGTATAACCCATTAGGAAAAGCATAAATTTATCTTCTTGTTGGAGAAGCCTTCTCAGGGAATTAATAATGGGTCAGCCTGAATGTAGAAAATACCACACCATGAGGTACTTTAGGTCTTTAAATAGTTGAAAACATTATCAAGTCTTTGCTAGATAAAGAAATAGAAGAGCATTATGAACTATTTTTAAAATAAGCCTTCTAAATACTGCTTTTCTTTGGTGTTTTCAGCAAGCTTCAAGGACTCTGAATTTCTGTGGCACTGAAAAAAGGCAGTGAAACCATGGGAAACCAACTGTAGCTCTTATTTTTTACGTGCCTAAGTTTTGTGATGTATTGTGGACTTTTTGTAAAAAATGTCAAAGACTGATTTGTTTTGTACACAAATAAACTTTTACAGGAAAAGACACTGGTGTCAGTTTAGATAAATTGTAAAGTCAGAGTGAAAAACAACTGGCAAAGCATAAAAAAAGGTTAAGTGGAGGAACCAGCTGTATCAAACAGGAAAGGAACATCTTTAAAAAAAAAGAATGAAAGATAACTTGGATAGCTGCTTATCTGCAGGGAGCCTGGAAAGGGGGGCAGGATTTTGCTTTGGGAACGCCCAGGAAAGATCTGTGAGGTGTTCCATGACAGCAGCAGCTGCTTGAAGATGGTGCTGTGCAGGGCAAGGAGTGGTAACACCAAGGACACGATCCTTTGGGACTTCTGGAGAAGGCTGGGAGCAGGAAATCTCGATGGAGGAAAGGGGGAAGGAGTGAAACTGAGGCAAAACCTGCTCCAGGTGTTTGTGGGCATGGAGAGAGAGCGGGGTACCCCGAAGTGCCCGCACCAGCTTTGGTTCACAAAAATGAGATTCTGTATGTACAATGTGAAAGTCACTTTGCTATACAGTTTTTATTTCTGCTATTAACTACACTTACACATGGCAGTGAAACAGCTGATACAGTTATTCTTGTGATAATTGAACTGCCTGCTTAGTTGGGATAACACCCAATGAATGTGTGATGAAGATCCCTGCTACTGTGAACACCTACTGTCTGTAAAAATTACAGACCAAAATACAGACAGAGGTGGTAAGAATGGACTGAAACCACAGCAAGAAATGTGCATGCTCTGGAAACGTGGACCTGATGCTAAACACTTCTTAGAACATGCAAACTAGTTTGGGGAAAAGTTAAATATGCATAACTATGAATATGCAGTAGGCTGATGCAATAGAAAAGGTGTGTAAAGGGTTTCTCTGAAATAGCAGGTGTGCTCCTGGCTGAATGCCAAGCACCCAGCTGTTACCTTTGCTTTATTTTTGTATCCTACTGTCCTTTATTTAACTTCTAAATTTACCCAGGAAAGTGAACCTCGTTTTTCACAGCAGGAACGAGGAAGGACAGCAGGATACAGGCTCTTGAGGGGACAGCAGGGCCAGCAGGGAAGCTGGGTCTGGCGAGGATTTAAACGTGCTCTGTGAGGGGACGGCAGTGGAGCTCGGAGCTGTGGCATGGGGAGGGACCACAGACTTTGCAGAAGGATGAGGAAATGACGGAGGAAAACCAGCCCTGCTGATGCCAGGGGCGATGGCTGGAAGCCACTGAGGGGAGGGAAAAGGCGAGGCCCGGCCGGAGAGGCCTCGGCCCTGAGGGGCCGCCCGCCATGTTGTTTGCCGTCTCCATAGCAACAGCCGCGCAGGCGCCGCCATCTTGTTTACCGTCACCACAGCAACGCCCGCCATCTTGTCCGCCGTGCCCCCAGCAGCGCTCCCGGCCGGGCCGAGCCGTGCCGGGGCCATGGCGGGCGCGGGGCGGCTGCAAGACCTGGACCTCAGCGCCGAGGAGGCGGAGCGGCTCCAGCGCGCCTTCCGCGACGAGCGCTTCCGCGCGCTGTTCGCGGAGTACGCGGCCGAGCTCACCGACCCCGAGCAGCGCCGGCTGTACGAGGAGGAGGTGGCGGCTCTGGAGCGGGAGCGCGGCGTGGAGGTGCGCTTCGTGCACCCGACGCCGGGCTTCGTGCTGCGGACGAGCCAGGAGGGCTCCCGCCGCTGCTACATCAATGTCTGCAGCAACCCGCTGATGGGGGAGCCGCGGGTCCGCGCCGAGCGCGGCGGGCAGCGCTGGGAGCTGCCCTACAGCCTGGCCCCGGGCCGCGAGGAGCTGCGCCCCGCCGGCCGCCGCCGCCTCCTGTACGACGTGGTGTTCCACCCCGCCGCGCTGCGCCTGGCCGCCCGCAGCGCCCGCTTCCGCCGCCTGCTCCGCGACACGGCGCTGGAGGCCGTGGAGAGCCAGTGCGGGGTGCGGCTGGACCGCAACAACGCCACCGTCCTGCGAGGGGTCTCCTACAAGGGCGTCCCGCAGGCGCCCGTCATCCGCTCCCCGCTGCCCGGCGGCGCCCCGAAGCCGCCCGACGACGGCGAGTCCCCGCTGCCGCCCTTCCCCTTCCCGCCCGCCGCTGCCCCGCCGCCCGCCGCCGCCGCGGGCTCCTCGCCCGCCGCGCCCCCGCCGCCCTCCGGCCCCACCACGCCGCGCTGGAGCATCCGCCACCGCTCCTACGTGGACCTGCAGGACTACCGGCACAGCCGCGACTCAGCGCCCAGCCCGGTGCCGCGGGAGCTGGTGGTGACGGTGGAGCTGCCGCTGCTGCGCTCCGCCGAGCAGGCGGAGCTGGAGATCCGCGGGCGGGAGCTGCGGCTGGACTCGCGGTGTCCCGCCTACCGCCTGCGCCTCCGCCTCCCCTACGACGTGGACGAGAGCGCCGGGCGGGCCGCCTTCAACCGGGCCCAGCGGCAGCTGCAGGTCACGCTGCCCGTGGTGCAGCCGCCCGGCCCGCGGGAGCGGCTGGAGGAGGCCGAGCCCGCTGCCGAGGGGCCGGCAGAGGCAGGCCCGGCAGAGGCGGGCGGCGGAGCGGCTCCTCCCCCAGAACTCGGGCCTGGCGGCGCGGCCCGGGGCGCGTGTGGCGGCGGCGAGCGCGGTGATCCGCTGGCCGAACCCCCGGCTGACCCAGTGTGTGATCCTGCCGCTGCTCCGTGTGCCGAGCCCCCCGCTGAACTGCCCCTAGACCCACTCTGTGATCCACCCGCTGAACCCTGGCGTGAACCTCCCGCTGATCCAACCTCTGACTTCCCTGCTGACCCTGCCGCTGATCCAACCTCTGAACCCGCTGCTGAACCTCCCACTGATCCAAGCTCTGAGCCCCCCGCTGGTCCAACCACTGACCCCCGCTCTGGGCCCTTCACCGCCCCCGCCGCTGTTCCACCCGCAGAACTCCCCACCGAGCCCCGGGAGCCGCCACTGCCCTGCTCCGGCGCCGCTTCCCCCACCGCCAGCCCCGAGCCGGCCATGCCCACCGGGGACACCCCTCCGCAGCGCCCCGAGGGCCACCCCAGCGAGACGGCCACCTGCCCTCCCTTCCGCGCCCGGCAGGACGAGGCGTCCCTCACGCTGATCCTGCTGGTGCCCGGCATCCAGCCGCAGAGCCTCCGCGGGGACGTGGGCACCCGGCACTACAGCCTCCGCTTCCGCACCGACACGGCGGCCTTCGCCCTGTTCCTGCGGCTCCCTGCCGCGCTGCTGTCCCCCGAGAGCAGCGTCAGCGTCTCTGCCCACAACGCCGTGCTGCGGCTCGCCAAGGCCCCCGGCAGCACCGGCCTCTGGGACAAGTTCAGCTTCGGCCCGGAGCCCTCCGCTCTGCAGGTAACGGTGGCAGCGCTGGGCTGTCACCTGGCCCCGGTGCCGCTGCCGGGTGCGGCTGCTGTGTGCTGAGAGCAGCTCTGGGAGCTCTGAGCGGCGCTGGGAAGTTCTGCTTCCTCCGAGAGCTGCTCCCGGGTGTCAGTGCCGTGACCTGATTTGTGCGAGTCTTGTACCGTGGAGCTGACAGCTTCATCCTTGGAATGGGAATGACTTCTGCCTCCCATACAGAGTTTTTTCGAAGGGAAGTTCTGGTGATGAATGTCCTCTGTGTCCTTAGTGCTCACTTTTAAAGCCCTGTAAATTGCTCGTGCAGCCTGTTCACACAAAGAGAGCTCTTTATGATACACCAGCCTTACACACGTGTGCACACACCATCATGAAGTGTAGGGGAGTGTCCCTGTGTCTGTGTTTTGGGACAGAATTCCCACTTACAGCCACAAGAACCCCCATTAGTTCAACCAGAGCAGAACAGCAAGCAGCAGCTATGAACTGTCCCGCTTTGCTCTGTCTGAATGTGATTCTAATTCAGTATTTTCTGATTTTATGGGTTGTTGGGCAGTGATGCTCCCGTGGTGGGAGAAGGTGGGGTGGCTGCATCCAGTGTCCCCAAAGGGATGCCCACCTTGTGACACTGTCCAGAGCCACTCACACAAGTTTTGTGGAGAACCACGTTTCCTCTGTGAGCTCAGACTTGCAGACAGTTTCTCATGAGCAGGGATTAAAGCTGCACAGTTCTTGTGCTACCTTCTAGCCATGGGATTTGGAGTTTGGCTGGAGTTGAGAGCAATAAAACCCTCTGCAGTTTGGATCACGTGCAGTGGGATTGCTTGTCCAGGAAGCTGGCAGGCTTCAAGCACATCCACTGGGATAGACTTGGCTTGGAGCAGCTTAATTGCTCCATCCCTCCAACTGGAAATGACTTGTGCATGATTTTGAAAGATATTTATCCAATTAGTGTTTGTGCAGCTGAAACCACGTCGAGTTTCCCATTTAGCAGCCACACACCTTTTACAGCAGCAATTCCTGTGAAGGAGGAGCTGATCATTTCGGGGAAGCACCAAAGATGATGAATTTATGGAGAACCACCCACGCTGGGCTGTTTGCAGAGCATTTCCTTTGCTTTTACCGGAGCAGGAGCCTGCAAGTCTGTGCAAGTGGGGCCACAGAACACTCAGGGCTGCTGCTCACGGCTGTGATCTGGCACTGCCTGCTGCTGCCACGTCAAAAAAGCCACTGTGTAAACTCCTGCCTGTTTTCTGTGCAGGTACTGAGGCTGCCCAGGGCACTGCTGGAGTCCCCATCCCTGGGAATGCTCAGAAAAACCTGTGGATGTGGCACTTGAGAACATGGCTTAGTGGGGAACTCGGTGGTGGCTGCACTAATGGTTGGAAGTTTGGTATATGGATTTGTTATTGCCACTGGAGGAACATTTTTGGGATTGAAAGGTTTTAAAAGGCCACCCAGTCATGGGATTTTTGGCTTTGTGGGTTACAAAAACTCCTTGGATATGCTGATTTTATTATATATTGCAGAATGTTTTGGGTGGAGTAGGAGAAAGAGATTGGGCATTAGTCATCATCTTCCTGGCCGTTCATTCACAGCAGACTCCAAGAGATTCTCCTGGCCTCCAGTCCTTTCGGACACTGGGCCTGCAAACTGAAGCAGGAGAAATAAACTGAAGTCATTTGTCCTGTTTGCTTTTTTTTTAAATCTGTGCTATTTCCCCAAAGCGCCTGAGAGCTGCACTCGCTCAGAGTGAAGGGAGAAAAATGAATATTTAATTAGAGCCACTATTACTTGCTGCCTTCTGGCCATTAACCATTTGTTCCTGGTCGCTTTTCTTCGACTTATGTTGATTCCTTCAATTTGTCTGATGCCACCTTGGGGCTTTTCTGCCTTGAGTCTCATTCTGTAAATCAGAGCTGTGGTGCTTGCTCCGAGACCTGTGAGGAGTCACATCCCTCACTGCAGAGTGCGGAGCAGTCACTGCCTAAAGGGAGCTCCTGGGGCTGAGGCGAGTGGGAGTCTTATCCTGGAGCAGGAATCTTATCCTGGAGCAGGAATCTTATCCTGGAGCAGAATTTTACCCTGGAGCAGGAATCTTATCCTGGAGCAGCAATTTTATCCTGGATCAGGGATCTTTTCTTACAATCCTAGAGCAGGAATCTTATCCTGGACCAGGAATCTTATCCTGGAGAAGGAATTTTATCCTGGAGCAGGAATCTTATCCTGGAGCAGGAATTTTATCCTGAAGCAGGGATCTTTTCTTACAGTCCTGGAGGAGGAATCTTATCCTGGAGCAGGAATCTTATCCTGGAGCAGGAATTTTATCCTGGAGCGGAATCTTATCCTGGATCAGGAATCTTACCCTGGAGCAGGAATTTTATCCTGGATCAGGAATCTTATCCTGGAGCAGGAATCTTATCCTGGAGCAGGAATTTTATCCTGGAGCAGGAATTTTAGCCTGGAGCAGAATTTTATCCTGGAGCAGCAATTTTATCCTGAAGCAGCAATTTTATCCTGGAGCAGGAATCTTATCCTGGAGCAGGAATTTTATCCTGGAGCAGGAATTTTATCCTGAAGCAGCAATTTTATCCTGGATCAGGAATCTTATCCTGGAGCAGCAATTTTATCCTGGAGCAGGGATCTTTTCTTACAATCCTAGAGCAGGAATCTTATCCTGGATCAGGAATCTTACCCTGGAGCAGGAATTTTATCCTGGAGCAGGAATCTTATCCTGGAGCAGGAATTTTATCCTGCCCCTCCCAATGTGCTTGTTGGTCATCTCCTCTCTCACAGCAGCGTTGCCAGAGGATGGTGCCTGGCAGAAGTGAATCATGGAATGGTTTGTGTTGGGAGGGATCCTAAAGCTCAAGTTCCTTGGACAGGGACACCTTTCCCTGTCCCAGGTTGCTCCAGGCCCTGTCCAGTGTTTTTAACAGCTATGGAATTCCTGCTCTGCTCCATTCTGGGAAAGCCAAGGGTGCTGTGGTGTTCCATGGAACATTCCAGCCCGGGTTAGCTCAGTCTGCCCCTCCTCGTTGCCCCATGCCATGGGGCTGCCTGCCCACATCACTCCCATTAATGCCAATTCCTTCTTGGAAGCTGCTCTGATCCACGTGCTGGGAGAAGAACGAGTTGAGCTCATCCTTAGAACACCGTGCTTGAAACGGAACTTCGAGAGCTGCTTTTCCTTTTGTATTGAGCAGTGGCTGAATCCCTGGGCTGGAAGAGGATCTATTTAGAGCTCAGTTTCCATAGATGCTGAGCAGTTGGAATTCCCACTCCAGGAAATCTTTACAGTGCCCTGCTCCTCCCTGGACTTTAACCGTGAGGAGTTTCACTCCTTGGCCAAACCAGAATGTCCACACTGCAGCTGGACTGGATCATCTTGGTTCTATGGCTGGTTATGGTGACCAGAAATCCTATAAAAAGAAAGATTCCATAACTTTGAACGTTGTGGGCTTAGGGTCACATATTTCAGGGGTTCAAAAGCCACCTTTTGTGACTGCAGTCACTGCAGCAGAGACCACGGTGCTGATCCTTCTTCAGGCCTTGCTCCAGGCCCTGTTTTTCCAGGGAATAATCTCATGACCTGAAGAAGCTGCCTGATTTCCCCACTGCCGAGATCTCTGCTCTTTGCCTCGAAATTCCAGCCATGGGCTGTGCTCTCCCCATTGCTCTTCACTGCAGTTCACCCTCTGTAACCTTCTACACCTTTTCCTCAAATCCAGGGAATTCAGGCCTGGGAAACTCCCACATCAGAGAGTTCCCCTTCATTTCCAGACAACACAGCCTGGGGAGAAAATGATGAAGGAAGAACTGTTGGGAGTTAAATAACCATTAATACAATTTGTAAGCCTGCCAGGCAGGGCTTCTGAGAACATGTCCCAGTGTGTCCTGGTTTATGGTAGTGCTGGAGCTGGGCAATTATGAAAATTGTGCCTTTGGAAAGCACTTGGAATGTCTTGGAATGTTTGGCCTCCTGGGGTTAAATGCTCGATTCCTAACAGAAATAAAAAGCAGTTTTCTGGGGGTGTATTGAGCTGCTGAGACTTTGGGGGCTCAGTTCTTGGAGCATGTGAAACACAATTGGCAGGGAGTTAATTCTGCGGTTCTGGGGTCGCGTCTGTTCGTTTTCATGGGATTAGAAAAAGACTGGCTCACGCAGGAATTCCCGTTTGGGCTGTCCACACCCTTCCTGCCCTTGCAGGGGCCTGCAGTGGGTTTGTTCAGAGGATGTGTGCTCATTCCTCTGGGCACTTCCCCCTGGGTACCCCTGGCTGGGCAGGGAGTTGCAGCCAGCCCATCCCTTTCCTAAAAGACCCCGTCAGATCTCATGGAGAATATTAGGATTTAACTCACATAAACCCCCACGGGGCTCCAGAGAACAGCAGGGAGCAGAGGAAAACAGAGGAAATATTTCCTTCCTACATTTACAGGCTGAAAAAGATTATATTGAACATTCCTGAGGAGTTCATGGTTGGAGCTGGGTCTGAGTTAGGCTGTGTGTGAGGGATCCAAATGGGAATTGCTCAGAGATAGGGAAATTTTGTTTAACTTTCCTGGGAATGTTGAAGCCTCCATGCAGGATGTTCTACATGGGTGTGATTTTTCTGCTTGGCTCAGCCACCAGTGCCTTGTGAAGGAGACCCTTTGGAAGCTCCTGCTGCTTTTCCCTTCAGAAAGCAGCTGGTTAAAAAAAAAAAAAAAGTGGAGCTGTTGAAGCAAGTCCAGAGAAACCATGGAGCTTCTCCAAGGGCTGGAGCTGCTCTGGAGCCAGGCTGGGAGAGCTGGGAATGTTCCCTGGAGAGGAGAAGGCTCCAGGGAGAGCTCAGAGCCCCTGGCAGGGCCTGAAGGGGCTCCAGGAGAGCTGGAGAGGGACTGGGGACAAGGCATGGAGGGACAGGACACAGGGAATGGCTCCCACTGCCAGAGGGCAGGGATGGATGGGAGATTGGGAATGGGAATTGCTGGCTGAGCTGGAATTGCCAGAGCAGCTGTGGCTGCCCCTGGATCCCTGGCAGTGCCCAAGGCCAGGCTGGACACTGGGGCTGGAGCAGCCTGGGACAGTGGAAGTGTCCCAGGGGTGGCAGGGGTGACACTGGATGGGATTTAAGGTCCCTTCCAATCCAAACCATTCTGGGATTCTGGGATGATTAAGTGCCCCTAGAAGAGGCTGGGGCCTGGTAAGGTGATCTGGGCTGATCCAGCCTGGCCTTGGGCACTTCCAGGGATCCAGGGGCAGCCACAGCTGCTCTGGGCACCCTGTGCCAGGGCCTGCCCACCCTGCCAGCCAGGAATTCCCAATTCCCAATATCTCATCTCAATTTCCCTACATCACTCGTGTGGAGCTGCAGGTGGCAGAGTTCTGTTGCTGCTGGCACTGGGACCGTGTGGAAGAGGCCAAGGGCTGGAAGTGTCCCCGAGGGCTGGAAGTGTCCCCGAGGGCTGGAAGTGTCCCCAAGGGCTGGAGGTGTCCCCATGGGCTGGAAGTGTCCCCATGGGCTGGAAGTGCCCCCTTAGGCCATGCTAGGCTGTCCTTGTCCTCTCTGAGCTCAGAATTTGAGCTCTTGTGGATGAAAGTGTTCCTTGGTTGGAGAGTCAACCAAGCATGAAGCCTTGAGAGCCGTGTAGGGACATGTCAAACATGGATGTTTTAAACCTTTGCCACCTTTCCTGGAGAAATCCATCCTGGAGAGCTGTTTTGCTCTCATTTCCAAGCTATTTAAAGTTATAATTTTCAATTTCCAAGCTACTATAAAGACTTATTGTAATAGTTAGGGGTTACTTCTAAGAAGATGCTGCTGGAAACTGGGGCTGTTGAATGTAATCCTCCAACAGTTTATTTTTGGTTCAGTTAATTCTGTGCTCAGCATTTCAAGACTCTTGGCAAGTTTTTTGGGAGGTCAGAGAAGGACAAAGAAGGAGAACACAACAAACTTATTATTTCACGTTTTTCAAAGTAATCCCTTTCCCAAGCTACATTAAGGACCATAATTAGTTTGCTTCTGCTATAAAACAAACTAATTTCTGAATAGTCTTTAATTGGTAGCTGCATTTTGGGAATACCATGACTACACAAAACAGTTATGTCAGGAAACATTATTAACCTGCTGATGAAGCTCATCAAAGCTTCTCTGGAGCTGTTTCATCTTTGCAGTCATGAGCACCTCAGAAAAGTTTTCATTTCACTACAGGCACCAAAACTTTGAGCTTCAAATTCTCAGCTCTCAGAGCTGGTTTGCGCTGGGATCCCACAAATGCAGAGGTCAGGAAATCCAGGTCCTTTCCCATATTGGCATCAATTGTTGGGTTTTGATGAGAGAGGTTGTGGCTGCCCCATCCCTGGAAGTGTCCAAGGCCAGTTTGAATGGGGTTTGGAGCAGCCTGGGACAGTGGAAGGTCCCTGCCCACGGCAGGGTTGGAACTGGATGGGATTTAAATCCTCTCCCAACCCATCCTGGGATTCCCTGATCCTCTCATGAATTTAAGCTTGAAATCTGTCCTGCTTTTCAAACTTGCAGCCTGCGTGGGAGGTAACTCTGGATGGAAAATGTCTTCAATTTGGAGAAATTAAAGCAGAATAAAGCCATTTGGGTGCTGAGGGAGCCGGGAGGGGAGCGGCGGGCGCTGTCGGTGCCGCGAGACACGAGGATGGGTTTGAATGATGAAGTGTTCCAGAAACCACAGTCATCCCTGCTAAGGTTGATGTTAATTTGGTCTCAGTTTAGTCACAGGGAAAAATGAATGTGTACCAAACAGCAGATGACAGTGTGTGCAGGGAAAAACAAATTAAATTCGAAGTTGCTAAGAGAGCATCATAAATACCAGAAAATAAACGGCTTAAATTGAAGAATTATTTTACAGGGTCATTGAAATCAGCTGCAGATGGGTGTCCTCTGTTTGCTCTGGCTTGGAAGGCAGAGCAGGCTTTAGAATAAATTCCTGAATCATTTTTTTCCAAGGTCTGTGCTCTGATAACATCTGCAGTAATATAAATGCCTCGGTGTGTGCTCCCCGTGAATACAAAGTCTGAGTTACAGTGCCTGGTGGAACAGGCTAATGATAATCACCTTCCTGATAACAAACACACCCCAGGTCTGTGATTTATGGCAGGCCATGGGGTGTAGGGATGGGATAAAATGGTAAATACTTCTGGGAATTCAGTGTTGGGCTGGGATGAAACTTGGAAAAATTGGTTTAGGCAGTGAGTCAGAATTAACGGAGCAACAGCACAAGGGGTTACTTTCTATCCTCATTTAAAGCACGGATTAATCACAGAATTGTGGAATATTCTGAGCTGGAAGAGACCCACGGGAATCAGCCAGGGCAGCTCCTGGCCCTGTCCAGACCCCCAACAATCCCAGCCTGGCATCCCTGGCAGCTCCTGGAGCTCTGGCAGCCTCGGGGCTGTGCCCATTCCTGGGGAGCCTGGGCAGTGCCAGCCCCCTCTGGGGGAAGAGCCTTTCCTGATAATAGACCTCCCATTCAGTGTTTCTTTTCTAACTGTATTTTCTGTGAAGAAATCAAATTCTTTTGCTTTTAATCAGGAAGAAATTCTCCAGAAAGATTCAGGGCGTTTGCTGCCAGATTTCAAAGTCCTGGTTGCACTGAGGAGGAGAGGGTGTCCCTGACACAGCACGGGTGCCAGAGGCACATTCAGAGGGAAAAGAGGTTATTTTCCTCATTTTATGGAGGAAACGTAGGATGAGACTCGGTGCAGCCTGGTCTAGTGGAAGGTAATGAAAGGTCCTGAAATAAATCCCCTGGCAGGGGTTGGAATGAGCTGAGCTGTGAGATCCCCTCCAACCAAACCATGCTGTGATTCCCACACTTGGATTTTTCAGCTGGGTGAGGAGGGTTGTGCTTTGCTCTCCCTGGAAGTGCAGGCAGGGCACCAAAATCCCAAATCTCCTGCAGGGAGGCTGAGCTGTCTGTGCTCTGTGGGCCAAACAATCCAGGGCAGAGCTGGGAATTCTGAGCTGCCCAAGGATGGGGTTCAGGAGCTTGTGGGAGCTCTGGTGCTGCACAGATTTTGTGTCTGCAGCCCCTGCCTTGTTCTGAACTCTGCAGAGTATTTCCACAGCCTGAAGCTCTGGCAGATCCCTCTCTGGCAGGCAGGAGAGGATGCAGCACGAGGGAATAAGAATGTTAGGCTTTGCATGCAGAAATGCAAGAAGTAGGGATGTTCTGAGAGGGTTTTCAGTCAGGGCAGCTCTGCTGCACTTTAATCTCTCCCCAAACCATCCCAGCATCCAGTGCTGGCTCCTTGCCTGGATTGTAATCTTTCTGGATAGAAAATGAATCCAATCCTCTGCCTTGGAAAACCAACAGTACGTGTGTTATGACTTTCCATATTGTGATTTCTAATTTAACTAGTGGAAAAAATAGGACTCTGGCTTATTTTTCCAATCCTGGTTTGTTTTTTTTTTTCCAAGATGACAGTTAAATTTTGTACCTCAGACACAATGTGACATCTGGCTGGGCATAAGGCTCCATCCACAGGGGGCCAAAAATGTGCAGAATTGCCTTTTTGCTTCTTGGTCTGCAAGATGTCAGTGATAATTGAATTTAACTTTCATTGGATTGACAAGAAGGTTGAACTGGACCGAGACATTTAAAAGTATGACTTAATGTGGAAGGTTTGCAAGTTGTCCCTGTTATTTCCAATTAAATAAGGAAGGTAATTCCCAGAACCTAAACCACTCCTCCCGGTCAGACCATTTTTATTTTGTCTGTCCTTCCCCTCAGCCTGCACAGATGATGTGTGAATAACACAAGGACAGGGAAAGCTCTGCAGTGCCTATGAAACAGCCCCTCCAGGATATATTTTAGGACCTTTAATTACCTGTAACTGATTTAAATCTCCAAACCCGTAGCAACACGTTTCAGGTTGTTTATGAACAGCCTGGAAACACACCCCAGGCTGTGTCTCTGCCTGTGGATACCTCTCCTTTTTTGCTTTTGGGTTTTTTTGTTTTTTTTTCCAACTGCACGGAGATCAGAGCAGCCTCAGTGGCTGGGTGTGAAATGGATCCAGCCCTGAGTGTTCCAGATCTGATCCTGCAGTGAGGATCCTGCAGTGCCTCTCCAGGGAGGTGTTTGTGTTTCCCTGCAGGCAGGCAGGACACAAACCCACAGCAGTCTAACACCTTGCTGGGGTTAAGACAGGTGAGGAGGGTGGAACGAGGTTGGGACACATAATTTTTCAGAGAGAGTCTACATCTGTGTATTAGTCACCCACCCAAAGAGAGAAATAATATTTCCTTTCTATTTGATACGATGCAGATTTGTACTTTCAAGCAAAATTAGCTAAGCACTGGTTTTCATTCATTTCACCTCGTTCTTTGAATGTCTGGCTTAGAATTTCTCTGTCAAGACTCGAGTGTGCTGTGAAACTTGGGAATTGCTGTCCTGGCTTTCTTTGCAGTGAGTTTTTAGCCCCGGCACCCCTGAAGCGTAGCACAAAAAGAACATAACCTGCTGTTTTCTCTCTTTTTCTTTAGGAGAGGTTGTTTGTCAGCGAGGAGAACGTTGATGGATTTCTAGGCACTGCTTTCTGCCCTTCCCCTTGCTCCCAATCAGCGCTGGAAAGCCAGCCATTAATTGAAGTGCTGGATGTTACTGAGGACAGAATTCAAATCAGGGTGGAGGTAAGGATCCAGCAGCAGCACAGATTGATGTTCTTCAGCAAGATCCTGTCAAATCCCACTGAAACAGCTCTGTTCCTGTTTTGTCCTGAGGAAGCAGGGAAAGCCCAGGACTGGGGTTATTTGCAAGTGTAAATGTCAGTTTTCAGAAGTAAAACTTGTGTTTGTGCCATTTCATGTGACCAGAGGATTGAAACCTCCTCTGTTTCATTTGGAAGGTGCAGAAGTGTGATCCAGTCATTTCAAAAGTGCTTTTTCCTTGCACCCACTCAGCCTTGTACAGGTAGAGAAATCCTAGAGGGTTTTGTCTGGGAAGAATCCTGCCTCATCTTTATTCAATCCATGTATTGGAATACTTGGTGGGTTCCTGTTGTGTAGATAATTAAACATGAGGCTATTAATCTTAAACACTGGTCTCAAATTCAATCCTTGTAGTCTGAGGCCTCACTCAGGCTCTCCTTCCTGTGTCCAGAACAAGCCAGGCTCTTTCTGGGATCTGCAGGGGATTAAACTGTCCTCCCTTGGCAAAACAGATGGACACATGAAGAAATCAAAATGTTCATTTTGTCAGGAGGGAAATGCGAGGCAAACCCCCACATTCACTGGGATTTCTGAGTAGGCACTGCTTCCAAAATTCAGATAAAACTCTTCTTGAAGGGAACATAAAAAGCAGAAAGCAGCAGGTCCTGCTGTGCCGTGGCCTGGAGCCTGCAGCTGGGGTTAATGTGTAGCTGGGTCACTGGGAGGCAAGCTCAGAGGAAGCACATGACCTCTGGAGCTGGACTTTCCCAAAGATAGTGGAGCCAGCTCAGCTTTCACAGCTGCTGTGGGCTGGACATCAAAAATTGAAATTCTAAGTGCTGGAGAGCAGATGAGTCCCTTTTGGGACCTTAGGGCAGCTGAGATAGCCTAAATCATCCCATTCCTGCTCCTGAGGGGCCAGGAGTTGGAGTTTGTGGGAAACAGAGTAAAGGTAAAAGAGGATTTTTAGAAAGTTGTGAAAGTAGGTTTTAAAAATAGAAAGAGTAGAGAGTTTAGAGTTAGTTGTAGTTGTAAAGTTTGAAAGTAGAAAAGGTATAAAAGTATAGTAAGTAGGGATATGAAATAGTAGTTTGAGTTTTAGATTTGGTTAAGGTAGATTTTCAGATTGTAGAAAAATATGTTCAGTGTGCTATTGGCTAGAAAGTTTTAAAAATGCTCTGTAACAGAAAAATCTTTGCCACTAACAAGATGTAAACTATTACCATCTTTCAATTATCTCAACCATATAATAAGACTATAATACCACAATGAAACTCAGAAACCATATCCCAGCAGTCCCACCCCATTTATACAAACCTCCAGCACAGAGCTGATGGTTCCTGAGGGTCCCTTCCAACTCAGGGCATTCCATGACCGTGTCCTGTGGGAGAACTGTCCCGTTTGGAAAGGACTGCCTGGTGTTTCCTGAGTTTCCTGTGGTTTGGGGCTGTGAGAAAGAGACTCTGTCTCTGAATCCATGAACCCAGCTGCTCTTGGATAGATCCTGCCTGATCCTGGCTCTGCACTGACAGGGACCTATGAATTACCAGCTGGTTTTTGCCAAAACTCCCAGAAATGGTGAAATGAGGCAAGTGCTGTTTGGGCAGCACCTCTTCCAGCTTCTCCTCTCCCGAGGCAAATTCCCAGATTAGCCCCACAGGCCAGGAATTTCCCTAATTGCAAGGCTCCAACCTTGCAACAAGAGTTGAGATCCCCTGGCTGATTCTGTGGCCGCTGGGATTTGGGGATTTGGGGATCAGGCTGGGTGTGGTGAGTGGCTGGGGCTGGAAGGGGAAGCAGGAAACCCTGGGGAAGCAGAAGGACCTCCCTGCCCCTCATTCCCAAACACCAGACAAGAGCAGGAAAACCTCAGCACCCGCTCACTTGGATTCTGGGAGGAGAATCCTGGAATCACAACCTGATTTGGAACCTTAAGGATCATCTTGCCACGGGCAGGGACACTTTCCACTATCCCAGTGGAGCTGAGCTGTTGGAGAAACAAATCTCTCCTGTCTTTGCGTGCACGGTTTGTTCCAGCTACAAAATAATTCATTTATTTCCTCGACAGCCACGGGAACGTGATGGACAAGGAGCACTCGGCAGCTCGGGGGGAGCCCACAGCAAGCACCCCGAAACAAAGGCAGAAACAAAGCGTCCCGCAGCCGAGGGAGGTGCTGCAGGATCCAGCCCAGCTCCCACAGCCGCAACAATAGGAAAAGCAGGCTGTGCTTCACCCCATTGTTTGCAGCACGAACCTCCTGCCACCAGCCCGGCGATTGCTGGCGGAGCCGGCAGAACGGAGCCCGATTTAGAAAGTGCTGCTGCGGCAGGAGACACGGCCCCGGAGCCGGGCTGGGGAGAAGCAGGAGAGCTGCAGGGGCGTGGGGATGGTGGGGATGGTGGGGAGCAGGGGGATGGGGATGGGGATGGGGAGCAGGAGGCAGCCCCGGGGCTGGGCAGCAGGGCAGGGTCCCCCGTCCTGCGGGAGGTGAACCCCAAGGACGGCAGCGTGCGGATCCTGCGCGACCACCGCGCGCGCTGCCCCGCGCTCTTCCACAGCCCCCTGCTCTACGAGCTCGATTAGTTCCATTGTTTTGGAATTTCCTCTTGTTGTTCCATGCTTGTTCTGACTTCCACGGGCCGGTGGAGGACACAGAAGCCATGAGTTCCCAGCGAAACTGGTGCAACAGCGAAACTTTCCGTTGTTAACAGTTTAACAGCTGTCGAATGGCATCTGTGGCAATAATTTCACAGAAAAGTTGCTGTTGGAGGTGACTCTGAGCTCCTGGAAAAAAATGTATCTTTATTGTTTACATAAATTTTTTATTCTCTTGCCACGTTTCAGGGATTATTTGTATATATCCTCAGTCTAATGGCTCCCTCGGGAATTGAGCAGTAGTCATCATTTTCCAAACCTTTCATTTGGTGATAACTGCAGGATTAGACTCACAGTGATTCTTAGCAATCAAATGAAATTTCTAATTACCCGGAGAAGTTCTAATTAGTCTCCTAGAAATAATCAACATTTATACCCTGTATTCCATCCTAGTGCTGTGCTTCAGATCTGCAGCACCCAGATATCCCCCAGCTGAACAAATTCCATTGCACAAGAACATCCTCTGGGTGCATGTCTGCTCTGAAGTATTTACAATTGGTGAAATGGATTCTCTTTAGCCAGATTTAGATTTATTTTTCTCAGTTTCCCTCGAGTTTCAGCGTTTCTCACCTCCCTAAAGCAGAATAACCAAGAGAACACATCTAATAATAAATTTCCTGTTCTCCTTTCTCACTGCTGCTGAACCAACTTCTGTTTTTGTTTGAGAGGTGCTTTAGAGGAGAGTCAATTCAATTTTGCCTCGTTCCAGGGCTGCTCTGTCCCATTTCTGTGTGAAACACCAGTTTGTGCGTGTGGTTTCAGAGTTCAGCAGGAGCCACAGCTGCCCAAAACACCTGCCCTGCCCTCCCTGGGGGCACATCCTGCTGCAGCTTTGCTGGGCTCAGCTCAACCCCATCAGCTTTTTGGGACAGGTCTCCGAGGCTGAGGCACCAGCACAGCTTCAGCAGCAGCCCCCACCCAGCAGAACAGCACACGGAGCAATTACCTTGCAAAATCGTGGTTAAATAACCCCGGAAAAAAAGAAAAAAAAGCAGCATTTTCTTTCTCTGACACATTTCTGTGCTCTGCAAAAGCTGCTGAGGTGCTTCTGCCACAGCTGAGTTCGCAGAGGGGTGGCACTGAAGCTGCTGGAGCGTTCACAGATGGCTCCGTGGCCCCAGCTCAGCCCCTTCCCACCACCCAGCAGCAGTTTTCACACGGCTAATTTGAAACAACTTTTAAAAAAAATAAATCCAAACAAAAGAGGTGTTGTGCCACCAATTTGCTACTCTTTTCTGCCTCAATTAATGAGTATCATTAAAAATGTAATGAAGTTAAATGCACACTGCTAGGAGTGATGGCACGTGTCCAACCCTCAGGATTAAAGAAGAGCAACTCCCCCCTCCTTCCCATCCTGACTTTTTAGGAACACGAGGTGACATCATCTTTTTGCTGACAATCAAGAACTTCTCTAGGCTTACAAAACAACAGAATTTTTATTTTGGCAGAACTAAAAAAATCATATATTTATCTACATCGTAGTAAAAACAATGAGATTTATTTTTTTTTCTTTTTTTCATCCTTCATATATTCATCGACACAGCGCAACCGAACCGGGACTCGGGGACTGGGGTGAGATGACCCCGGGTGGGACCCCAGGCACCACCAGAGCTTTGAAGCACCAAAAAAGATGCACTTAAAAGTGTTCTCCTCCTCCTCCTCCTCCTCCTCCCAGCAAACACAGCAGCAGGTCACTTTTTGCGTAGGGGCTGCAGCACGTCACCCGCTTCCAAAACGTGGTTGCCAAACATGAGAGATTACTATTTTGGGACACCTTTAACAAGAATGTTTATTCATATTAAAGCAGAAACCAACTCATAAATGCTGTTTATACACGTGTGTGCCTGGAAAAGACACAATGGAACAACTCAAGGAGAAAAGGCGCCGCGAGGAGGATCCTCACTGGAGTCTGCGGTAGCTCTTGCAGAGTTCGTGGTCCCTGATGTCTCCCCAGCCTCCGTTCTTGACGTGAGGGGACAGGGGAGCCATGGAGTACCTTTTACTGACACTCATCTCCTCGGGAAACAGGTACTGTTGGTTGCTGTTCAAGAGAGAATCGATTTTGGCACTCTGGGTGGACGGTCTGCAGGATTTCTTGTGGTGCATGCCACAGTCCCCCGTGTGAAAAATCCTGGGGATTTCGGGAACCAGCACTTTCCAGAACTTTGGAAGACAAGAGACAGTCAAGTGCTGCAGAGTCCAGTCCCAGTTGTAGTCATCGTAGGTGCAGAAGGCGTCCGTGCACTCGATGAGCTTCTGGTAGGTGTCTCTGCCGAAGGCCATGCCCATGTTGTGCTCCGTGGACTTCCACGTCTTCATCTCCACCTTGTCGGCGCGGCCGGCGAAGCCGCCCCGCACGGGGCCGTAGGTGCCCAGCGACACGAGCTGGCACTCGGGGCACTCTCTCTGGCGCAGCGCCCAGAGCCGCTTGAGGACGTGGTAGAAGTCGGGCGCCAGGTAGTGATCCTCCTCCAGGAAGAGCACGGGCCCCGCGTGCTCCCGCAGCGCCCGCACGCGCTCCCACACGAAGTGCAGCTTCCACCACCAGTGGTGCTTGGTCTGCGCGAAGCGCGCCTCGCGGTAGTGCCCGAACGAGTCCGGGAACTCGGCGTTGATGCAGCCCAGCCGCAGCGCCGCCGCCTTGCCCACGTCGCGGGGGCAGTCGCGGGGGTCGTGTCCCGGGAACTCGCGCGGGTACAGCTGGATGCTGAACGGGAAGAACACCTGCAGCACCGGGCAGAAGTCCACGCGGGCCGCCAGCCGGTTCAGCTCCTCGGCCCACAGGTCGTGGCTCAGCACCAGCAGCACGTTCTCCACGCCCGCCGCCCGCCGCAGCGACTCGAGCAGCAGCCGCAGGTGCTCGGCGCGGTCGTGCACCTGCACCACGAGCACCACGTCGGGCCGCGCCGGGAAGCGCCCGGCGTTCCGCACCGGCTGGTCGAAGTTCAGGCGGTACACGAGCGAGCGGTAACTCAGCGTCGCGTTCTCGGACAGCACCTCCGCCGCCACGCCGGCCGACGCGTTGGCGGCGGGGCGGCGCGGTACCGGCGGCGGGAGCTCGCTGACCCGCGGCGGTTCCCCGGTGCTACCGGGACCGCCCCGCTGCTGCTGCTGCTGCTGCTGCAGCTGCTGCCGCCGCCGCCCGCCGCCGCCGGTGCCCCAGAGCGCCAGGGCGCAGAGCGCTAGCGCCAGCGCCAGCAGCAGCACCTTGCGCTTGTAGACGCGCAGCCGCATCGTCCCGGCGGCGGCGGCCCCGCTCCGCCGCTCCCGCCGCCGCCGCC